GCAACCCGCAGCTAGCTCACCTCCACTAGTATAGACCTCCAGTTGTCGGTTGATGTTGGATTTGTCTACCAGAGAGTGCAGCACATTAAGGACACTGTGGACGTTCCAGATCTTGGGGTTGGAACGAAGAAAATCAATTTCCTCTTCAGACTTCTTGGCTGTCTTGCAGCGGTACTGGCTGAAAGACTGGAACTACAGGAAAAAGCAGAGATTCAATGATGAAAAGCTATTTTGGAGATGTTCCGATAAGTGCACTAAGCTTACAAGTTGATCGCACAAATGCACTACAATAAGCTGCAGAAGTTTCATCTGAGATCACCTGGCAACCAAAATGGGAAATAATACTAACTTTGAAGCACTTAGGGAAAAAATTATACAGTGTATAGGGAAAAGGCCAGAAGACAGAATGAACCCGAGAAGGATTTGCTGTCTGAACAGGTAGCAAAGAGAAAAAACAAGTCATAAGATGTATCTGCACACACACACATCTGCTTCTATATATGCACACATTGTTTTTCATCCTCAAGCTTGGCAAGGCTGCAACGGTTAAGGAATTCCAGGCAGCTCTACAGTAAAAAGTTACAGAGAAAGGAATCTATAGAGGAGAACCAACAGCATTTGAGATCTGTATTGCTGCACTCAGAACAGTAAGTGGAAAATTATTTTCTGACATCAAGATCTTGGACCACAGATTATTTCAAATCAGGTCAGCAATCTTTCAGTGGAAGCATAAAGGCCCTACTGACTAGGAAACGCAAAACTAAAGTAAAACCAAAGAACACATGAGTTTGAACAAGTATCTTCAGAAGGTTTTTGTGATTATAGCAGCCTTCAGTCAGGCTGCTTTGCACAAATCAGGAAGAAATGAAGGTTAGTTTAAAAAAAATCCACTAAGCAGCAACTGAAACAGAAATATCAACAGAAGTCCAGGACTTCCCTAAAACCTCCCTGTAACTTAAAAATCTGTACGTTTACAACTATTTTATCTACCTGGTGACCCAGGAATAACAATGCTCATCAAAGTTTTTTGACCTGCAATGGTACCCAAGCTATGAAAATCACAGAGGGACAAGATGAAAAATAGCGCCTCACAGAGGCAATGCCACCACAAAATGGCCCAGTCTCATAGTCATATACCTGGTATATGAATTCATCGATGATATCCCAGAGCCACTGGTTAGGCAGTTCCAGAGGAGCAGGGCCATCAGCATCTGCAGAAGAATGCAGAAGAATTAAGCCTTAAGAGAGGCTTAATCTCTTGAGCAAGAACAGTGGTAGAACTGGAGGAACAGATAGCTGAAAGAACACAATTTCCCTGAAATGGAAGATGAATGAAACTTCCAGAAGTGCAGTGATATGCAGCTTTGGCTACCTCAACTCCTTCCCTTTTAAAGAATAAGAGCATGTATGGGGTTAACCTCTAGAGCGTGATGGCTGAGTAGCAGTGATATTCAGAAACTGCACACAGGCTGTAGGGTTTTACCCCAGCTGATGTTTTCTCCACAAGAAGTCTGGCAGGGAGTCACAAACACTAAGATTTGTTCCAAGGAGAGTCAACAACAGTAACCAATTGTGAAACACTGCAAGTTTTCTCTAGCTTACAGCTTCATTTTGCTTTTTAATAAAAAGACGGGTGAAATAGCTCTCAGCAAGGCATAAAGCTAAACAAGTTTTACTTTTTACAGTATTTCAGAAAGCACTGGAAAATATTTATGCTTTTTGTGGGTTTAAATGCATGGATGTAAAGTGCTCTTCAGTGAACAAAAACTCAAACACATGGAAAGCTTGTAGACTACTTCTCCCTCTTGGGTCTTTAAACATTGCAGTTCTACCCCTCGCCAGCTGTACCCGCTTCAAAACAGAAAGGAACTGCAGCAACTTACTGAGGATGTAGTTGAAGAGATTGCAATAGTTGTAATAGGATTCAAATCTCTGCTCCAGTGTAGGTCCCCCCTGCAATGAGAAGTCAGCACAGTCTGCTTAGTTTCAAGCAAGGCAGGAGGAAGTTTATGGGCAACAGAATATGAAGGACAGTCAATAGTCAGGGCAGTATAGGGTCTATTTCAGAAATGTTAGAGACAATATTCAACTAGGACACCCACCAGCACCACCCAGAAGACCTGACATTGTATCACTATTGTCCCACAGAATAGGGCTGGTTTTTCATGTACAGGGCAACCAAGCAATCAAACCTCCTGTGAATAGGATGCCTTAACCCTCCTTGTCCTCCTCTCTGCTGTCCAGACTGAAGAGCTTCCCACTACCTTCAACAGCTTTCCTCCCTTCTCCCCTCCTGAGAAGCCTTTCTGTACCAACAATACTACTTGTAGACAGTATTTCTAAATGTTCTGAAAGACCAGCAAACACAATAGGGAATCACTCTCTTCTTAGAATGATCTTTCTTATTTCACCTGGAGGCAACTCAAAGGCAGCCTGAGAACAACTAATAGCACAGCCTGAGAAACCAGTCTCTCCTGTTAAAGCCCGACCTGCGTTAATACAGCAACCTTTTTAAAGGGCTCATTTCTCCCCCCTCTGGTCCACACCAAAACTGCAGCTATTTATTTACTCGAAAGTGATGCCTCTCTTCAGCTTCCTTCTTTAAAGGACCAAAACCAACTGTGATTTTCTCACTGACTTCGAATTAGCTTAAGAAGAAAAAAAAAAGTTGGGGTTGTTTTGTTTTATAGAGCATTATTCTTTCCATTTCCTTCTCTTGTATCCCTTATGGTGCCTGTGTCCCTCTCCACAAAGCACTCTGACCCCATATGGGTTTTTTAATCACAAATAATGCACCTTCTTCTTGTAACACTCTCTCACCCACCTGCTAATTTGGAGAACAAAAAGCCACAAAGAAACACACAAAACCAACTGATCTATAGGTCTTGGCAATTACAGCTCTATCAGAAAGAAAATTTAATTACCCCCAACACCTCCTTCTTCCCCAACTCACTAAGCACTACAGTAACAAACTTCTACGCAATAGCCTCCTGAAAACTCAGACCAGGTCTTCTGATTCATACAGGCTGCCAGGGAAACCTGCACAGTCACCATAAACAAGCTTGAGGAGACAGCTAATGAGCCTCAGAAAGACAGTCAAGCCTTTCTTGCTTTTCAGCAATTAGTTACTACAAAAAAAAGGCAAGAATTTTAAGCTTTCTTAACTGCAACCTGACTTAGATCTCATAAATCCATTCAATCCTGCATTGCAAAGACCACAGAACCACTGATGCTGCGGTGGCAGCAAGAACTGGCAAGTTCAGTGGCATAGAAAACACAGCATGCAACCAACAGGGAGACACAGGACAAACACTCACGCTGACTTTGGCATAGATGTGCCTATAATACAGCTCCTTGTATAGGATGAGGAAAACAGCATCTGGAAAAAAGATGACAGAACAAGACATTAGCAAGCCACAAGGCCCAGGCAACTGGATCTCTTGGATACACCAGTGGTGCTCCTCCTGCCACAGTAATAAAGGGAGTTTGACTTCCTGCCAGGCACCTGCTGGAGGAGTTGCCAGAGTGAACAAAGATGAGCAACTCGGGCAGCAGCAACACTAGACACCTGCTCACCAATTTAACAAGCTATTTAGTTCCTTCTTTATCTGACAAGAAAAAGAGAACCAAAGACTTACCATTTCCGACCTGAGGGGCAATGGCCTCAGCCTCTGGCCATGGGGTATTCTTAAAAAACCTTTCCGTCAGCTTTGTCCAGCTGAAAGATAAGACACACTTATGGCATTATAAACCCTTTCTCAGTATAATAGTGCTGGAATTAGAGATCACCATACAGAGGACTTCGACAAGAAAGAGGAGCTCCACCTCCTTCTAGTAAGTCCAGTGTTGAGTCAAAGAATGAGAATCACAAACTAAGCAATTAAAGTCTTCAATTTATCCCTGAAGTATGGAACGGTTGTGTGTGTTACCTTCATACTCCCTTTACGTTAAGGTGACACAGCTACAAGCAGGAGGGAGTATATGCAGGGAACAGACACCACCGCATGGCTTTTTGCAAACTGCCTAACTAGCACTACTGGGGTCACTTTTGCTGCCTCCACACACACTAGGCACAGGACTGGGATTTTCCTTCAGACAAGTCACAACTCACTTATGTTAGCTTAATGGTGTGGAAATACTGAGAGTTTGGCTTTTTTCTTCCAGTAATCAGATCAAACCTCACACTTATTTTAGAGAAAGCCCAAACACCACAGGCAGTAGTCAGCCTTCCGTTTTTAAAAGCAGTGTGCATTTTCACCACAGTTTAAAACAGTGATTCCTCCTTTGTACCTGTTCTCATAGATGTCCTGGATCTCGTATACCTTCTGGTCAATAACATCACTGGACACACGGCTGGCCTGGAGCTCGTACACCTTCTGGTCGATGAGATCCGACACTGTCTTGTGAAAGTATTGAATGAAGTTCTTGATCACTTCGGGGATCACCTGGTAGGTCTGCTGCTCGTACTGGCGCTCGTAGGCCAGGTCCTGCTTCGGGTCTCCTGAGAGAAAGGAGAGACGCAGTGAGGCAGGCGGCCGAGGCCTACAGGCCCAGCAGGCTCGGGGCACGCATGGGCCACCGCACTCACCCGTGTGCATATCATAGTCGTTGGAGTAGGCGTAGGGATCGTAGGCGGCCTGTGGAGAGACGGCAGCAGCTAATCACCACGCCAGCACGGACACAGTCACCCCGGTCCCCTCCCGCCGCCCCGAGACCCCCGACTCGCACATCGTTGTCGTAGTCCTCCCCCGGGTAGGCCATGGCGGCGGCGCGGCGCGGCACCGAAAGGCCTCCGGGCAGCAACACGGGACCAACGAGGAGAGGGCCGGAAGAGCGGGGACAGCCGGACGGAAGGCGGAGTGAGGATGCACCCTCCCATTGGTTGAAACAACTGCCTGTCTTAGGCCCGCTGAGGCTTGTAGCCCGCCCCTCTCATCTGATTGGGCAGCGTACCTGCCCGTCAGACCCGCCTCGGCACCGCTTCCCCTCTATCCACTCACCTTCCTTCTATCCGCACCCTCTGCTTTCCTATTGGCTACACGCCCGCTGTGCGGCGTCTTCGATTGGTCGAACGGGCACGTCCCGCCCCGTTGCTATAGTGACGACCCTCCCCTCCCGGCCCGCACCCCGCGCAGCGGCCTGGCCCGTGAGGGGATGGAGGGGGGCGGTGGGGCCGCAGCCGAGCCCGATGCGGGGCTGGAGCAGGAGCCGGAGCAGGCGTCGGAGCCGGCGCCGGGGGCCGGGTTGACGCTGGGGCCAGCGGCGGGCGCTCCCCTCGGTTACCTGCACGTCCTGTGGCAGCGGGAAGAGCCCACGGGCAAGATCTCGGCCCGCCGCCTGCGCAGGGCCGCCCGTCTCCACCGCTGGCTGGGGCCTACGGGCAAGGAGACCCACGGTGAGTAAGGGGACACGGCAGCACCCTTTCCGGGGACGGCGCTTCCTTCGGCCGCCCAGGCCTCAGCGGGGTGGAGAGCCTCCGGTTTGGGGAGCCGGTAGACCTTCGACTTCCCCGTGTGAGGGGCCTCCAGAAGGAGGTCGGATCTGCTCGGCGGGCGGCTTGGGAAGGCTCCCTTGCGCTTGCCAGGGGAGAGCACCGGTCAGGAGAAGGCAAGGAGAGCGCTTCTTACCTGGCATCTTGGATCTTCTACTTCCCCTTCTGTGAGCCGAGACAGCACCAGTGTGGTTTGGACCCTGCACCAAAGCTGAAGTGGGTTGTTTCAGTAGGAAAGTGCTCAGTTTTCCTCCGCGCTTTCCAGTAATTTCTTTCTTTCTTTTCTCTCTAGCTCTGAAAAGGTTGCGTGAAGCTGCCAATAGCAATGACTTGGACACAGGTAAGAATTCTGCCCGTCCTACTTGGGACCCTTTTCTTGAAGGGAGTTCTGTCAACGAACTTCATTTTAGGAAAGGATGAGATTGTGGATAGTTTGTGGACGTGGTGCTTGGGATGTTGCAAATCTAGCAACTGCTTTTCTGGAGCCTTGTTTTGCTCTCTGAGCAGAATGAGGCTGGTTATAGTAGTCATTTTTTTCACAGGTTCATAGCGTAGGCAGTTTTCAACTGCCTCAAGCTAAATCAGCACTACACCATTCCAGCTTTTTTTGCTGTGTAACTTTTACTTGTAAGCAGCAAGAGAGTAGTGTTTTGGTAAAGTGGAAAAGTTGGGATTATCTAAGCCATGCTCTGTGTGATGAAACAGTGTGACCCAGTAGATCAGAACCAGGACCAGTGCTGGATTCTGCCTCTCACAGTGACTTCAGGGAAGGGTTGTGGCATGTCTGAGAGTCCCTTTACCTCTCTGTACTGTAGATTAGGTGGGGTTTGATATGAAGTGTCTAGCAGCAATATTGGTGTATATTATGGGCCCTTTATTGTACCTCTTCAGACTATACTGTCCCTTGAGTTGTGCTGACGTAACTGTTCATCAGACCATTCTGTGAGCAAAACAGGAAGCCAGTTTGACATTTAGAAACTCCCAGTATATCAGAACAAGAGTTTGTTTGGTGTGGTTCACCCTTTGGTTCCACTATACACTTTGTTTTGTGAACTGATGGATAAATTTCACCTGTGAGCTGTCAGTACAGAAAAGCTTAGCTGCAGTCACTAAGTCAAGTGGAAGAATTAAAGGATCAGGCTTTATAAAAGTCTTGGTTTCAATCAATTTTAGAGTTTTGCAGCTGTATTTGATACAAAGGTTCCCCTGTTTACAATCCTACTGCATTTTCTGTACTCTGCAACTTGAGGAAGTGTCTGATGACGAATTTATGCTTCATCAACAAATAAAAATCCATGCTGTTTCCTGTAGTGGCACTGGGTAGGAAAGATTATGTCATTTGCTGCTGGCTTCAGGGAAGGACTAGGTAAAGCATCCCCCATTAAAGGTTCTCACTGGTCTTTCTTCTGGAATATCAAAAATCCATCTTTTCAAGTGTTCCTTTCCCTTCTCTACCACACCTAAAGCAGTAGGTGTACAGAAGAAATTCAAATGTAACTATAATTTGATCTCTGGAAGCTGAGGTGGGTAGTGGCTTGCAGTGGTCTGAGCTATCCAGTTTCTTGTCTCCAGTACCGGTTGGTCTTGAGTGTTGCAGGATATGCTGTTAAAGATCTCAAAACAGTAAATCTGTCAGTGTTGTTAAAAGCTACAAAGTGAGCTTTATTTTACACACTGATGTATGAGGAGTACTCCAAAGAACTAGAGTACTAGGCCTTACAGTTGCCCTTTCACACATTGCTATAGATGCTACTTTTGTGTCCGTGATCTTTTCAGCCTTTACTGTTCTCTTTGCTTTTGCTATATTTGTACATATGCTGGCGAGTCATTTGTACAATGCTGGAGAGTCGTACGAGTTTCTCTGTCTTTCTGTGTGAATAGGTTTTTCCTTCTTACCTGAGAACAGAAGGTAGTTCTGGTTACAAGGATTGCCAGTGCTGGCATTGAAGAAGTAGCTGGGTGCAAAAGCAGGGGGAACAAGTGTGAGTAGATGATATGGCTCCTTGAGTTCACTGTCTCACTTCAAGACATGGCCTCCTAAGAGTATTATTTGCACTGCCGTTGGCAGGTTGATGCACTCACCTGTCTGCTTCCCCATCAGTAGCCACACAGTAGTATGGCAAAACCGAGGAGTTTGGGATTAATCTAGCAAGGGGCATATCCAAAACGTGTGAAGAGGTGGTTTTTTCTCACTGCATGTGGCTACACCGTGAAAGTTCTCGCCATGGGTCCATGTTGATGTGAAAAGTTTACACAGATGCAGAAAATGACCATGGAAGTTTATGGAGAAAGGTCCTGCAGGGATAGTAAGCACAGGATGCTAAGTCTAGCCTAGCAGGTGCCTAATGATACCACAGAGATAAGCATTGCATGCAGAGAGGTGAGGTGAACACTGCCTTGCTGTTTCTTTCCTCCACATCCTTCCTCTCTCCTGTGCATCACAGTATGCATCCCAAGCTTAAAGGACTTAGGAGGGACTCTTTGCATGTCACAGAATCGTAGAATGGTTAGAGTTGGAAAGGACCTTAAGTTCCAACGCCCCTGCCATAGGCAGGGGTGCCTTACACTAGACCATGTCACCCAAGGCTCTATCCAACCTGGCCTTGAACACTACCAGAGATGGAGCATTTACCACTTCTTTGGGCAACCTGTTCCAGTGCCTCACCACCCTCACAATAAAGAACTTCTTCCTTATATCTAACCTGAACTTCCTCTGTTTTAGTTTAAACCATTACCCCTTGTCCTATTGCTACAGTCCCTGATGAAGAGTCCCTCTCCATCATTTCAGTAGCTTCACTCCTCACAAAGGTTTAAGGGTCAGCCAACTACAGACTGAGAGAGTTAGCTTCACATCCTTGCTATGCTTGTATACTTTTCTGTAGGCTTTTGCTGCTGATTATCCTTGAAGCTTGAAAATTTGGCTGGGTGGCAGGGGGTTGGAACTAAATGATCTTTAAGGTCCCTTCCAACCCAAGCCGTTCTGTGATTCTATGGACCCTTAGTCATTACAGCTAAGTACTTCCAGAGGGTGGAGGGTATGCTGCCAGGGCTGGTTCTGCTGAGCCAAGGTGCTGGCTGGAGCTGGTTCAAGTCCAGTTGACTTGGCAGCTGGTAGAGTGCATTATTTGCCCACAGAAGAGTAGATGGCATTCTCCCTTTCTGATCCGGTGCACCTTCAGCTTAACTGCTTTCTTCTCCTTGGCACTGTCAGTGCAGCAACTCTTGGAGGATGGAGCTGACCCCTGTGCTGCGGATGACAAAGGCCGGACAGCCCTGCACTTTGCCTCCTGCAATGGCAACGATCATATTGGTGAGTGGGGAGGAGGGGGAGTTCTGTGTTCCAGCCTCTCTGTGGCAGAGATTTTGAAGGATGCTCTTTATTTTGATCCAGCACATGACAGAGCCTACTGTTTTCCATGAGTTTTGTGGCAAAGTTGCCAGCTGAACTCTGGCTTCAGGGCTTGCCATGTTCCCCTGCTGAAGGGGGAGCCGGAGCTCACAGCTTTAGGATTGTGCTGGTGCAGAAGGAAAGATGTCATTAGTCCCAGTTCTTCCCCTAAAGAGTTCCAGGGGTAGCGGTACTGCCTGACTTTGTACTGGGTCCTTCTGCATTGCTGCACAAACCTCTGTCCCCTATCTCTGGGATGAAGCTGAGGAGCTGAGCAGAAGCACCCGTAAGGCAGCCTGGTGGCTGCTCTGTGTGCCTGCAGCCCGTGTGGATCTGACCTGTGGGGCAAAGGGAAGGGACTGATGTGGCTCTCTTTGCTTGTTTCCAGTGCAACTGCTTCTGGACCATGGGGCTGACCCAAACCAGAGAGATGGCCTGGGAAATACCCCCTTACACTTGGGTAAGTGCCACATAGATGAGCTTTGCATGCAGAGAGGTGAAGTGAACACCACCTTGCTGTTTCTTTCCTCTTCACGTTCCTCTTTCCTGTGCATTACAGTATGCACCCCAGCCTTAAGGACCTAGGAGGGACTCTTTGCATTTCATTAGCTTCACTCCTCATGAAGGTTTCATAGAATCGTAGAAGGTTTAAGGGTCAGAATTTGAGAAGATCAGTTTCACTCCCACTGCCAGCCCCAAGAGTGTGAGATCTGTTCCAGAGAGGGTACTCAGGCTTGAGTGTGAGGTTACCTGTAGCAGTTGGGCTATTTGTCTTTCCCATGGCAAAGAGCCATTTGGGAAGCAGCAAGCTCCACACTTGAGCAGAAACTCCTTTGTTGTTTGCTAGTACCTCTGAGTTGTGTGTCCTGTGTTTTCCCTCCCCAGCTGCCTGCACGAACCACGTTCCTGTCATCACCACACTGCTGCGCGGAGGTAACATTTCCTCTATCACAATTACAGCCTGTCCCTTTCCTGCCCCACCTCTGTTGATGACTCCCCATGGACGCTGAGTCTTTCTGACACTTTCTGTCTTTGCTGATGCATCTTGCAGGGGCCAGAGTTGATGCCTTGGATCGAGCTGGCAGAACACCGCTGCACCTTGCTAAATCAAAGCTAAATATCCTGCAGGAAGGAATCTCCCACAGCCTGGAGGCTGTACGCCTTGAAGTTAAACAGGTAAAAAAACAGTTCCATGCTGTGGTAAGGTGGTGCAGTCTCCTTCACTCTTTGTTTAAATACTTGCCTTTAGGCTCTTAGCTGCTCTGGGGAGAATTTAACTTTTTCCATCTGTTTTCAGGGTTCTTCCTTTTTCTTAACCACTACTCTGAATTTTTGCAGAACCTCTCTTGGCTCTGGTAGGCCAAGGATGTATTGAATGTCTTAATTCTCAGGCTGTATGGAACACTTTCTTTCCTTCAGCTACCATGTAAGACAGATGTCTTGTGGCAGGAGAGTGATCACAGCAGGGGGCTGCAGATAGGGCGCACACATTCAGGGACTTTGCTTTCCTAGCACAGTCTGTCCTGCTCTGATATGTGGAGTCATGGAACATTAAAGCAGTCACAGGTCTGCATCACAGATGCCTGAGGTGTGGGTCTCGCTTCAAAAGTCATATAGAAGCCACAAGGACTTTCATCCTTAGCGCACAAGCGGATCCAGCTGGGGTGGGAAGTCCTTGCTTCTCACAGTGAGGGAAGCTAGCTAGCCATAAGGAAAAGCCTGGTGCTTTTCAGGGCAAGACTTTATGCTTCTTCAGTTGGGCCTGTTTTCCCTGTTCTTAAACCAGGCACAGTGCTCACGACTAGTCCCATCTGTGGCTGATCAACACCTCTGCTGACTCACTGGGCTCTGATGCTGTCATTAGTGCTCCTCAGTTGCTTTGCATTTGTTCTTCTGTATGGGTTACATACTCTGCCACATACAGCAGCGTCAAGGCAATTTAACTGCAATTTATTTTTTCCTGTAAAACCATCCCAGCCTGGTGCAGCTGTCTGATGTTTGCCTCTTTTGCCTGTTGGTTTCAGATTATCCAGATGTTGCGGGAATACCTGGACCGCCTGGGGAGGCATGAGCAAAAGGAACAGCTGGATGACCTCTGCTCCAGGTTACAGATGACTAGTACAAAGGAGCAGGTAGGCAGCTTTGAACTACTGAGATTTGCTTGGGTTGTGACTTCAGTGTTTAGGACAATGCAGCTGCATGAGCAAGGTAACACGGAAGACACGTTTATGGAAATGTTCTTGCTCACATTGGACGCATTACGTGATGACTTGTGTACTCCTTTCAGTTGGAATTCAAAATGCAGAAAGCATCGCTGTGCCTCGCAGCTTAGCAGAGAAACTGAAGATCAGATCAGCATTTTAAGGCCAGGATCAGCACAGCCACACAGGGTTGCAGGGCCTGTTTGGTTTTTTCCTATGAAAGATTGTCCCTTAGAAACAGGCTTAGAGGAAACAGCCTTGATACCCTTGTTGAGTTCTGGGTAATGCAGCAACATGCTTCTATGTTAAGGACTAGTTAAATTGCATGAGGAGGTCAAGCACTGACCTCCTGAGGAATGGGGAGGAGCTCCCATTGCCTTAGGTTAGGACTTGTTTGATCATGAGGATGGGAGCCCTTCGTGGGACCAAAGGAATCCTGTCCTAGTATAAGCTCAGCATGGGTATTACTGGCAGTCCTGGTGGAAGGGTGGTCCCTGCTGCACAGGAGTTTCTTCTGTGGTGGTGGTTCAGCTGCACAACTGCATTTCCCTGCCTAACAGCCACCTGTATTCTTATGGCAGGTGGATGAGGTTACAGACCTCCTGGCCAGCTTCACATCACTCAGCCTGCAGATGCAGAAGATGGAGAAGAGGTAATGGGCTTTTAAATCACATCCTGATGCAGCAGGAGAAGCCTTAGAGAGAAATGGAAGCTGGAGCTTACTTCCCAGAATGCTGAAGAAACACTGCTGCCAGTAGCCACTCCTGCCAGATCTAGTGTCCGGTGGTGCTCAGACTGTTCCTGTTAGTGCTGCCACAGCTGCCTCATGGGGAGGCAGCAGGCTTTGGACAACAGAGACCACAGAAAGCAGAGTGCTGCATCTGAGACTCTGGGGAAAAAAAGAGCTGCTCTTTTTATCAGATGGCCTGGCACTGAATAGGAAACCCCTTCCAGAGATATTTTGCCTTACCCTAAGCACTTCAGCTTAATGTAGGTGGTGGCTGATGCCATGTGCAGTCACCAGCCCTGACTAGTGCTCTCGGCAGCTGGCCAGCATCATAGAAATGCTTGGAACAGGCACCTTTTGCCATCTCTGCAGTACATGGGAGAAAGTAGATGCCTTGGACAACAGAAGGCTTAGTGCCGGGAGAAGAACACACACTGAATTCTGCATGCTAGCAGCTGAGCAAACATACTGCCTTGAGAAACATGCACTGAGGCTTAATCCTAACCTTTCCCAGAGCCTGCATCAGTGGCCCCAGTTCTTAAATCACTATTCGGAGTTAGTGCGTAAATACTACAGTGAAACACTTGCAAAGAATACCCAGGTAAGCAACTAGCAGGTCAGAGCTGCCCTGATGCAAAAATAAGGTTTGGGGGTGGCTTAATCCTAGCACAGATTTAGGCAAACATCTGCATCTTGCAAAAAACAATCCACCATAACTGACTTTTGTGTTTCCTGTCACTGGCAGTCTCAGACAAGAGGTCCAGTTGTGACAGGAGCTGTTGTGTATTCAGCTGTATTATTGGGCTGGGATAGAAGTGAATTTACAGCTACCTCAGCAGCACCAAACCTACAGCTGACCCACACTGTGTGCTTTTTATCACGGAGATTTGCTGCTCCGGGAGCTTAAGTACAGTGTGAGAAACGAGCTCTGACCTCTGCTGGGAGTCTGAAGTGATGCAGCGATGAAGGATGCAGGGAATTGCTCTTTCTGCTCTCTAGCTTCTGCCCCACTGTGGTTAGTATTGAAGATTTAAATACCTTTGGTTTGGAGCAGGAATCCATGAAATCTTGCTGGTAGGGTGCCAACAGCAGGAGTGACAAGAACATGCTCGATAGCAATTCCGAGTTCCCATCTGTGTACCACACCTAAATGACACGGTGTGCTGGTAGCAATACCCATCCAACAGCTTGGGAATCACTGATTTGGAAGTGTTCATTCTTTAGGATACAGCTTAACCATGCAACAGCCACAGTTTGGAGCATTCTTCAGAGACTTTCAGGTCAGCATGTTCTCTAATACCTCTTGTCCACAAAGAGGCTAAGTGAACTTCATGCTCAAAGCTGAGATACCAGCAATATGCATGGCTTTTAGATAAGTTCATCCATGAAGTGCTTGGAGGCCAAGGCTGGGATTAATAGTCTTGTGGTTTGGCTGGAGCTATCACTGTGAATGCTGATACTTCATTACAATACTCTGGATGAGAAGAATGCCGAGGGGGTGGGAGACAATCTGAGCTTTTTGTATTTTAGACCAATAAAACCCTGTCAGCCTTTTCAGAGTCCTCAGCCAAACGGTCTTCTTTTTCAAAGCAGCTCTTTCCTCTTTCTTTTAAGTGTGTTCCAGACCCCATACACAGCACAGCACACGGGAACTGCTACTCTCATACCTGGTATGGAGATCAGAAGCGTCAACACAAAGTTGTTTGAATTCAAACACCAGTCTGTTTGTAGATCACAGTACACAGTTGCTGACTCACCTTTTGATCTGGACTCCCACACCATAGAAATCCAAACTTCTAGCTCTAGTTAGCTGTTGTGATACATACATACATACAAATAGAGGAAAGAGAATCTCAGTAGGATTACTTCAAACTGGAAGATGGCAGTATTTTGCAAAAAGGAAAAGCAGCCTGGACCAGTCTGCCCTCCTGCAAAAGTGTGGAGCTGGTGGAGAGAAGGTGGCTGAACTCATGCTTTGCCCTGTGCCAAGTAAAATGGCTGTGCTGTGAAGAGACAGCAAGGGAGTGGGGGCTGTGGAGGGCTATCTGGGCCGGCAGAGAACTTCCAGGATGGGCCCTGTGTGAGAAGCAGTTGACCTTCATGTCCAGTCTTTACCTGTATTGTTTCTTCCTGTCTCACAGCCTAGTCTTGGTGTCCACATACCCCCAGCTGTCAACGCTTCTGCACTCAACAGCCTTGTTGCTGAGGAGACCATTAGGGTGCCAAAAGAGCAGGCAGATGAAATGCTCTTTACTGCTGCAGTTACCTTAGTTGCTGATGTTGTCTGTTAACGAGGCAGAGCATGGAAGCTTTCCTCAGATCCAGGAATACACTTCACTGGGACTCAGAACAAAGCTTTCAGCCTCAGCACACTTGATATTACCGGCCATGGCTTTTCAGGCCTTTGTCTTGCCTGGTGCTGAAGTTTTTCATAGCTGCTCCTGATGCTCAGATGGGAAAGGTGGGGGCTCTGCAGCCAGCCAGGAGCAATTGCTCAGCTTCTTTTGGAGCACTGCTCCGTCCATGGGCAACTGGCACAATGAGCTGAGGCAAATAAAACAAGTAGGCTTATAGGAAGTTTTGCCACTGCTTTAGTGGTAACACCAGGCAAGAAAGAGAAAAGGGTATCTGGTTTTCAGTGGGGGGAAAATGCATCATGTAGGAATCATTCTATGGATTTCCACAGTCAGTTCTGCTTCCCTGCCTCAGGGATGAAGCACTGGGCTGCTGGGAACCATGTCATGTGTTTGGGACTGGACTGGGAAAAATTTTAGGCTTCTTTGTGTCAGCTGGTCATGTGAAAGTCAACTACTCCGCCATGCTCAGCAGGGTAGAGCAGCTCCTAGAAAAGGAGGTAGGTGCTGGGGAGGGAAAGAAGGAAAAAGATTCAGGGGAGGAGGAGTACGTGTTTTCTTCATGCTGTGCTGAGAGCTGTCCACTGGCACCGTCCTTTTCTCCGCTGCTCCTAGCCAAGTGTCTTCAGCCTCTCCCAGCAGCTCTCCTGCCTGGCCTAGCAACCTGGACCACAGATTTCCCTACACAACTCATAGCTGTGAGGTTGATGACAGCTTTCTGCATCTCCCAGAGGCATCTGCTGCAGTAATGGGGAATGGAAACTACAGCACATGTTTCCTTCTGCTTTTTATTTTGCTGTTGAACTTAGTCCAACCTCCTCATTTTCCTTGTGCTACACCATAAAACACACCTTCATGGGTCCATTCCCGAGCAGTAGTGCATACCCCTCCTCAGGGCCATGATGTCAACCAGGACTTAACCCAAGGCCTTGCTTTCCCCTCACCACTACCCAACCTCCAAATACACTCCATTTCCCCCCTCTCTCACAGCACAGTTCTGCAGTGACATGCTTAATCCCCAGCCACTGAACCCAGCAACAGCCTCCCCAGCTCTTCTGTACTGTAAGATGCAACCAAAAGCAGCCAGGTTGAGGATCTGCCTCATGCAAGGAGGCGAAGGCTGAAAACCTACTTGTGTCTCACGAGGGACCTACAGCAATAGCCCCATAGAAAGCCTCCCAGCAAAGCTGCATGGATGTTACTAAGCAAAAGACCTTTTGCTGAAGTGGCCACTCACCCCCACAAGCAAACACAAAGCACACACTGCGGTATGTGCAAACATCAAGAACCTGTTCAACTCTTCAGCAGCTGAAATAATTAAACTCCAGGGTATCAAACCAACATCTCAACCCTGTTACTTCCTCCACCTTTGCCTTTCTTAGCAGACTCCAAATCGATCTTTGCAATTGTTGGTGCTGCTAAAGAAGATCCATGAAGCATCCCTGGGAAACCTCCAACCCTTTCATCTGCTTTCTCCACTCATTCCGTTTGCGAGACAGATCTCTTATCCTTGTCGTGGTTTAACCCCAGTTGGCACTAAAGTACCATGCAGCTGGTTGCTCACCCCCCTCCCTGCAGTGGGATGGAGAGGAGAATCAGGAAAAGGTAAAACCCGTTGAGGTAAGAACAGTTTAATAATTGAAATAAGGTGAAAATAATTGTAATGAAAAGGAAAAAATAAGAATAAAACCGAACAAACACAAGTGATGCACAGTACAATTGCTCACCACGAGCCCATCCTCAAGCAGCAATCCCTTCCTGTGAACTCCCACAGTTTATATACTGAGCATGATACTCTGTGATACGGAATGTCCCTTTGGATATTCAGGTCAGCTGTCCTGGCTGTGCTCCCTGCCATCTCCTCACTGGCAGGGCATGAGAGACATAAAAGTCTTTAATCAAGGCAAGCACTTCTTAACAACAGCTAAAACATCCGTGTGTTATCAGCATTGTTCTCAGACTAAAGCCAAAACACAGCACTGTACCTGCTACTGGGGAGAAAGTTATGATATCCCAGCCAAAACCAGGATGCTTCCATTACAGAAAGGTACCTGTAGAAAGATGCCTTCTTCGTGCACTGTGCCCGGCCAACATTGGAGAGCAGCCTTGGGCAGCTCAGGGCGATGGGGTGACAAGGTGGAAGAGACAGCAGTTTTGATTAGAAGCTGGTACAGGTGATATGGCAAATAGCATTCCTCTGTTTTTCTGTGAAAGCTCTGAGAGGGGAAGAGAGCACATGGTTGTTGGAAGAGTTAAAAAAATTAGCTGGCAACCTGCTAAGGCTGGTCATGGATTAGGAACCAGCAGCTAAACTCCAAAGCATATAACTGGAATTCCCTATAGTTAATGGTGCTCCATGCCCTGACCACCCCAGTCACACCGTTACTTCTCTGCTTGCGAGTCGCCTTTGTAGGGCTGTCCTGACTGCTTGCAGGGTGGCTCTGTACAAGGTCCTGTTCCCAAGAGCACAAGGGGACACACAAGCAGCACTTGAGCCTGTTGCTCTGACAGGGTTTCAGACAGCTTCCCATCTTCCCCAGCCCCCTGTCTCTGCAGAGGGACACGCCATGGCTGTGCTCAGCCGATGCGGCAAAACAGCCTCTGCAGGATTAAAGCCGAGCTTTGTCAGGCCAAGTGATGACAAGCTGAAAAGAAAATGCAAGCAAGGAGTCATTAATTAAGGTGAGAAGCTGGGAGCGGAGACTGCCAGCATGTTAATTGGTCTGGAGAGGAGGTTGCGTGGAAAGCAACAATCAAGCTCTTTTCAGCTTTAATTAAACCTGTCTCTGTCGAGGACGTGGCACCTTTTCTTCACCTCTGCTTTTGAGCTGAGAAACCGGTTACGGCTTGTGTGCTGTTACTGGGCAGACAGGAATTCCCTCCTGACTCGAGCCTCCACAACCCAGGCTCGGCATCTGCCCTTCCCACTCACATGCTCCCCAAAATTGGGGCTTAGCACCAACTAGAGGTTAGGGATGGGAGCCGGTGATGGCAGATGTTTGCTGTGCTTCTGGAAGACCTTCCCCCAGATCTCTCTGTCCTGATTCGTTAAGGTAGGCTTTGCCCCAATGTGCAGCAGTTAGTCCCAACCTGATCTGCTCTCTTTGCAAGCTGGGACCAGGAGGAGCAGGATTAGAAGGAGCAACAGCCTGGCTGCTTGTGGGCAAGAACAGGCAGTGTCTGGCTGTGCTGGTATCACTGCTCCTGACTGCTGTTCCCTTCCTTCTTCAATGCTTTGGTCTCTGAAGCTAGTCCTCAGGCACAGACATGAGGGATATACATTTGTGTTACCCAGAGGCTGCTTGAGGCCATGAGAGCTGGCCACCAGCCACAGCTTTGCATGCAAAGGGTGGCTGCAGGACTACCCATTCCCAGAAAGATAGGCAAAGCATGCTGGACATGCTTCTGAAAGACAGTGGCCACAGGGGAGCGACAGCCAGCATGGAGGAAAGGAGCTGGAGACACCATAGAACTGGCTTGTCTTGGAATGGACCTTAAAGCTCATCCAGTTCCAACCCCCTGCCACGGACAGGGACACCTTCCATTGACCAGGTTGCTCCAAGCCCTGTCCAACCTGGCCTTGAACACTGCCAGGGATGGGGCAGCCTGTGCCAGGGCCTCACCACCCTCATAGTGAAGAACTTCTTCCTAATGTCTAATCTAAGTCTACCCTCAGAAACAAGGATAGGAGGCGAGGGAGTCACAGAATGCAGAGAGCAACATCGAACACTTGAATGGAAAAGAAAGATCGTTCCCAGTGCAGCACTTTGGCTGGCCTCTGCATGGGAAAGGGGTGTCCTTATTGCTGAGCTCTAGCAAGGCGTGCAGCAGCTTCAGCAAAGATTAGAAATACCACGTCACCTGGGAATTTTAAGAGTGAGGAGGACAAAGCAATATGGGAAGATTACACAATCAGGAGCAGGGGACGGAAAGAGAAGAGAAATAAGGGGGCTTATGGCTCTGCTCATGCATATCACAGCTCTGCAAGCTCCTTACTGCCTGATGTTCAGGGCATTGTGAGTGCAGATCTGCCTCCGCATGAAGAGTTCACACTCAGGAGCCACACAGCACTAATTAAATGCCATATGTAATTAAGGAAAAAGAGGGCTTTTGCAGTCATGTAAAGTCTCCTGTAAATATTGAGGCGGGACGGTGGCAGGTCTAATGATTTGCAGCTGAGGTGTCTCAGAGCTGCTGCAGGATTGTGGAGGAGGTGGCTGAGGAGTTCTGTGGGGCTTGAGCTTGGTGTAATGGGTCTGTGTGAGTGAGCTCATCCCTTTCACTGCCAACAGAAACCCGTCTCAGTGGGGATGAGGTGTGAGCCTGATGATCCTGGCCTCTCCCATAAGAAAGCAAAGCCCCTGAGACATGGTCAGAAAGTGTGATGCTAACAGATATCTCCCTCACCTCTCACCATGGATGGGCTCTCACCTTCCATGGGCTGTTCCCTTGGAACCAGGTCCAACGAAAGCAGTTCTTTTTGTCCCTGTCTCTCAGGTGATCTTTGTCCCCTTTCTAGGACTTCTTCCTGGTCTTGTCCTACAACGTCATCAAAAAGCTCTCAGGCCACAGGACTGAGGCTCAAAGAAGGCAAGGATCTGTTCTGCTTGCACCCGCAAGCCAAGTGGCATCACACCGCTTGCATCCCCATGGCGAAGCTGTCTCATCCCACAGAGGTGGCTGCAGTGACCTGCAGCACATAGGCTTGGGACACTGGGGAAGCCGAGTATCCTACTTGGTTGCCCTCCCCTCACCACTCATGTCATGACGAAGTGACCAAATGGGAGCTGCATGAAGGCAGCCACATGCCTGGACCTCAGCATTGCAGCAGTGCAAATCCCACCGGCTCCCTTGCTACACTGATCAAAGGCTTTGCATGGGTGGTGCTTTTCTGGCTAATCTGGCAGCCTGATGATGGAGAGAAATGCTGGAGAAAGCTGTCCTGGGACTAGGGTCCACCACAGCCAAGTGATGCTCACCCCAGCTCTGGAGCAGAATGACAACAGGGGGTGAGGAGAAGGCTTTTGCCAAAACTCAGGTGCTCTGCCAGCACATTGCTTCCCACCTTCCTCATGCCCTTTTGTCCTCCCTTCTGCCCTCTGCTTCTAGCCCCTCACTTTGCCCTGCCTTCCCACTGCTGCTTTCTGTCCATCTGGATAGCTCTTCCCAGCCCCACACATTTCTCATTTATGTTACCCCCACCCCATCATCTCACCATCCATCCTTTCCCCTCTTTCTGCTGTTGTCTTCCTCTCCTATGACTTTCTCTTGAACGCTGGCCTTTTCTTATGTTTTTGAGACATAGGTATTACACCCCTCAGCTTTTCCTCTTCTGTATACATCTGCAGTGCCTGTGAAGTAAAACACAACAAATGCTGCCCTGCTACTAAGCTGGGACCACCAGACTGTGGTCAGACGGCTCACACAGCCTCCACCACCTAGAACCCAACCTGCAGTGCCCCGTGCCAGGCAGTTTGTATCCAGCATGCAGCAAATGTGGCAGGAGAAGGAAATTACCAGGGTTTATTAAGGTCAAGCAGGGGAGAAATTCCAGCACCTTCAGATAGAAAGGGGCACTAAGGAGACAAGAACTAAGTGCGCATGGGTGTTACAGGCCTGTTTCTTTCTCCTTTGCCTCACCGCTACTGTCCCCTGGCTCCCAGGCTCTCTTTGCAGCCTGGGCACTACCTTCTGCTTTGGTGACAGCCATTGTTTCTCTCACAGTCGTCATCATCACATGGAAAAAAGTTGTCTGGCCACACACATAGGGCTAACATCACTGAATAACCTCACTGCTCAGAGAGCAACAGGTCCTTCAGCCCCAGAAGGAAGGGATGAAGCTCCGAGTAGCAAGCAAAGATCAAAGCGGAGGCAGCAGTCCCTCAGGAACCTGCAAAAAGCAAACAGAAAGTAAGCAGAGGGGCGGATCAGATGGAGCAATGTAGGGAAAGGGGGAGTTACTTGGTTTGTTTAGGAAGGAAATACATCTGAACTGCAAGTAGCACTGTGAACTGGGACAGTGTCCTGCAGGATTAGCTCGCAAGAGCTAAAACCATGTGGGACAGAGCTCTAGGAGACAGAAGCATCCTCCAGCGAGTATTTCTGGTGGGGCAGGGTGGAGAGAAGAGGCTGGACAGATGGTCTGCTCCTCCTTGAACTTCAGAGAAGCCAAATGTGCAAAGGGGAGGCACACAGAGGTGTCAGCACAGAAGCCTTTCCATCCTTTACCAGCTGTGGCATAAAGCATTTGAGTATGACTAATGACTGCTGCAGAGTTTGCATCACTGAGCTGTTGGCACAGATGGCTGACTTCCTTGTACATCAGCCAGTGTGGCAAAGGTCCTTTGATCTGGATACAGGGACTAGGGAATGGGATGGAGGTGGACGAGGGTTGCCCATGGGAAAAAAAGGATGTGTGGGCAGGGGACCGCGTGTCCCTGCTTGGGGCTGCCAGGATAGAGGCTGGCAGCTACCCTAGTCACTCAGGTCCCCATGCACTGTCTCCATCCTTCCCACCCATGCTCTGATGTGCCTTTAACAGCCTGGATTTCCTACCAGGATGTTTTCATTTTGGTTGCCTCCCTCTTAGAGTTCCAAGGTGCTGCACAAAATTAGCAAGTTAGGAAGTTGGGGAATGGAGGCCTTAAAACCTGTTGCAGACATGTCACCCAGGTGCCACATTAACATGTCCCTGCATTCTGCATCTGTACGTGTGGACTGTGCCATTCCTATGCACAGGTGGGCCTGTGAGCAAAGGTGAGTAGGGATAACAGGTTAACCATTGCCACAGGATCTTTCGGTGGCTCTGCTGCATGCATTCCCCTCTGCCTGTTTGAGAATGGAGTGGCTACTCACTGGTTGGAAAACGGGTTTCTTCACTTTGCTCATCTGTAGTGAGCAATCAGAAACTCCTGAGCTCCTCTTGGGGGTCACAGCTAGGGGATGGGCAGCTGTTGCCAAGCTTTCCTCCTCCAGTAGCTCTTTCTGAGCAGAGAACATACTATCTTGTAGCTGGTGAGTCCATGCTCTGGCATGACCGGCGCCTTCAGGGTCCCTCTTCCTGGTGTTCTCCTCTGGGACCTGGGCCACTTCGTTGTTGCCTCCATAGAAACCTCTGGTGCTGTTGGTGAAACCTTTGCCCACGTTGACCACATGGACTTTCTTTCCAAATCTCTTCTTCTTCTTCCTGGTCTTGTTCTGGAGGAAGAGGCAGGTGAAGACCTGCTTGAAACGCTTGCGGAAATGCTTGGAGATGAGGGCATAGACGATGGGGTTGAGGCAGGAGTTGGCATAGGAAAGGCAGTGGGAAGCCAGGCGGCAAACATAAGTGGCTCGGTTGAAGGGGAAGTGGCCAAACCAGAAGCACAGGATGACCAGGTGGTGGGGCAGCCAGCAGAGGCAGAACAGGATGGCCACAGCCACAATCATCTTGGTGACCTTACGCTTGGCCTTCCGGGAATCTGAGATCCTTTCTATGGGATCTACGGAGGTCCACAGGAACTTGATGGTTCTGGCGTACGCCAGGCTCACAATGGTCACGGGCAGAAGGTATCCGAAGACAAACGTGAGGACGTCCAGAATCTTCCGGCGCTGGTCCTCCCAGATGGGGACACAGATGGGCACCCCGTGGTAGTGGACAATCTGGTAGTAACTGAGGTAAGGCCCCGCAAAGAACAGCGACAGTGACCAGATTGCTACAATGGCCACTCCTGCATTTCGGGAGGTGCGGAGATCCCGGGACTTCAGTGGATAGCGAATGGCCAGGTACCTGCCGAGGAGGGGAAGGAGAAGTGGCACAAACGCAACAAGGGTGAGATGAGGTATCACTCCTGCCCTGTGGAGCTGTGCCTCTTTACCCATCTTCCCCTCTCCCTGCCTCTTGGTAGGTGAATAGAGGTCAGGGTCATCCCAGCAGCAGATCTGGGATCTCCATCACACGCTCTGCTGTGCTAGCTTGGGAAGGTCACACAGCGTGCCTCTTGAATCAGGGAAAAGAATGATAGGAGCAGGACCCAGAGCCTCCCTGTTTCTCCTGTGGTGTGTTGCTGCCCTGGGGCTTTTGCTGTTTTGGTTTTACATAGTGGACACTAAACCTAAGTAGGTGCCTGTAATTCTTCCCAAGTGAGAGCTGAGTAACCAAGCCAAGAGGCTGGCTTGGTGCTGAGAGAGGACATGGGGAGCCAGGGATGCTGGCTCTGCTGGCCCTGCCTCTTGGGGAGGCCCTATGTGCTTTTTACAGGACATTCAACAGGGTAAAGACTGGCCTTTCTCCCACCCTCTAGCTCAGGGGTAGCAAACGCATTGTCCCTGAGCTGCGGGATTCACAGGGAAAGGGGCACTTACCTGTCAATGGAGACAGCAGCCAGGGTGAAGCTGCTGGCGTACATGGTGAGGTAGATCAGGAAATGCACAGCCTTGCAGGCAAAGGCCCCAAAAAGCCACCCGTCCAGGGTGTAAATCGTGGCCTGGAAGGGCACGCAGCAGATGATGAAGCACAGGTCAGCCATGGCCAGGTTAAGAATGAAGAGGTTGGTGGTGTTAATGACTTGGCCGTTCCGCAGCAGCACGGCCAGCACCAGCCCGTTCCCCACGGTACCCAGGAGGAAGATGAAGGAGAAGATGACGGGCACAATAATCCCGGCTGCTCGCAGCTCTGGACTGTTGGAAGAGGCGTTCCATCCCTCTGGCATCTGCCCATCTGACCTGTGCAAGGAGAAAGGGAGACACAGCACCTATACACGGCCATAAGCATGTAGGTGCTGGTCGCTGCTGACCACAGTGGCCACCAGAGCTATGGCCCTAAGGAGCCTGATCCCAGCCTTTGTTTGAAGTCCACATTTCTCCCAGAGATACCAATCCCAATCAGCTGGTTAAATTATGACATCAGGATCCTCGTGATGTCTCCGGTAGGATGCTGTTGGGATCAGTCAGCCCATATCTGCCTGGCTTGAGCGGAGCTGAAGTCCCTTTCTCCTGCCCAGACATCATCACAGCATCTCCTTGCTCCCAGCCTCCTGAAGGACCCCCTGCCCTGCTGCCTGGCCTCCGCTACATTTGTCTGTAATCCCAAAGCTGCTAAACCTTTTGGGATTGTTTGCTTTGACAAATCTGAATCCCTGCTGCTGTTCCACATGCCATGGGGAAGGAGGCTGCTGTGGGCAGTGAATGGTCTTGGTAGACTCACCCCAGGGCTGTGCCACCTCCAGCAGCAGGGACCTGATGCCTGTATGACACCCTGCAGCAGCAGCACCCCATCCCAATCCCAACCCCAAAGAAGCTCCTTAAGCTGGGACCACCTCCACCCTGGAGCTGGCTGCTCCTTGTTCCCTGTGCAGTAGCTGTGCTCCACAGAGGAGAGGCAGATAAGGGTGCCTTTTCCTGATACTGAGGGGTGGTCTCAGGTTGGATGGTGGCAGCTAGGAGAGGATGGAGTCGGGGAGGGAGACCCTGGAGCCACCTGAAACACAATGTGATGATCATTGTGAAGGAACGGCGATCAACTGCACCGATGAACAATTGCTGCAGCTCAAGATACTGTGGTTTGCTGCAAAACTTCCTCCAGCCCTAACACCGTGCTCAGGTGGAGAGCTCCAACAGCCTATCTCCTAGCAAGCCATGTTGTGCTATCATTAGAACAAATTGTCCTTGGCTGAGCAGCAGCCAAGAGGGAACGACACCATTATCTAGCACTGTTGACATGCAGTTGACTCTCTTTTGGACCACACAAGCTCCTTCGCCCCATGCTCTCCCATCCCTCGGCTCCCACCATTTCTCCTTCCCAGCTACCTCTCTATCACACGAAAAGATTGGCCCTACCTCTCTGGCTCTGCAGTCCCCTCTGTCCTACTCGTAACTACCTGTCTCGTCCAGCCAGCCCCGTGGTGTCTCCTTGCTCAAGCAGAGGACCCCGACCTCCCTCTGGGCACGCACCTTGCGTGGTGTCCCCGCTCAGGAAGCCCGAGGCCACCTCTCGTTTTGGGGAGCTGGCACTCACCTCTGAGAGGAAGGGCCTGCAGCTTCGCAGCTCGCTGGGGGAAGCTCCTGTCCAGCCCAGGCAGCGGCGGCGGGGCCGATGCAGAGTTTGCCCCGGCAGCGCCGTCTCCCTGCCTGCTGCTGCGCTGCTTCCCCCTGCCCACCGCCGGCTCTGCTCTCTCTTCTCCCGGCTCCCGCACGCGTGTCTCTCCTGCTGGAGCTCCTTCCCTCTCTCTGTCTCCCCCCTTTCCCCCCCTCTGCTCTTGCTGCTGGTCCATTGATCTCTGTTGAGTGTTTTTTTCCTTCTCCCTGAGGTTGGGTTTGGAGTTAACTCCTCTCTGCCCAGCCTTCAGCAGGCTCAGCTGCTCCCTGCTCCACCGGGGAGGGGGCAGTGCAGGAAAAGCCTGATGCTCTCTGGTGTGAGAGGCAGGATGGAGGGGAGCAGGGTCCCATGGGCCCCGGCAAGCCTTGCAGGCACCCCTCGGTGCTGGGTGTTCAGGACATGTTGCCCAGCACCCCTGGGAACATGAATATCACCTCGTCCTTGGGATACGGGTCCAAACCCTCTGGAACACAAGCAGTAATTGCTATGACTAGCTGTTACTAATTAATTGTTAGTAGCACGGCACAGAAGAGACCAAGTTTTCCCACAATGCCTGACCTAGGGAAGGAGGGAAAGCAGGTTTTGGTTTCCATCCAGCCCAGCTCTGCCATCCACCAGCATTGCCCAGACACTGCAGTGTGGGGATAGAGGACAAGCTCTCCAGGGGGGCCATCTCCAGAGATTCGGCCCTACGACAGCACATGTGCTTGCTGATGTGCCGAGAGGCACAATGCCTCACCACCTCCTGCCCTGCCATCGTGTCTATGCCCCCAATGGACCTGTGCCCTGCAAACTTCTAGGTGTGCTGAGGACAAGCGGGGCTTGGTGGTCCTTCTCCAGCAAGACCTGAAGGCCACCAGCTTCCCTTCACTGGGAAGTCTTTTCAAATGATGGAGCAGGATGCTGAGGAGGAACAGGAGGCACTGACCCCTTCCCCTCCACAGCAGCCCCGTGTCCCTGTTGATGGCATCCCTCTGCTAGCAAGAGGGACAACGTGACCTCTCGTCCCCGCCTGCCACTCTGTCTGAAGGAGCAAGGTGTCCTTGCCGGCTCGCTATCAGCCACTGTAACCAGGGAAAAGGGGAAGGCCGTGTCTCAGGACACGCCAATAACCCAGGGGCTGCGGTGGAGCTCATCCTGCAGCACAGCCTGTCGCAGTGCCGCTCGCTATGGACGGAGCACACCAGCGCTGCCTCCTCCTCCTCCTGCTGCTCTGCTCGCTCCCACAGCCGAGCATCCCGGGCCCGCCGTCACCTCCGGATGAACCCCAGGAGCCGCCGCTGCCGCCGTCGGGCGCCGCTGAGCCCAGTGCCGACATCCTGCGCGGCCGCCCCTCGGCCCCGGCGCGGCCATACAGCCTGTCGCTCTCACCTGAGGACTACCACTACTACCCCAAGCCACGGCACCTGCGGCCCGGGCAGCTGCGCCGGCTGCTGGGCTCAGCCTTCGACCCGTTCTGGATGGCCACCGCGGAGCCGCGCCGCCGCAACACCAGCAGCGGCGACACCCTGGAGACCCAGAGCCGGGACCTGGCGGACGGCTCCGGGCGCTACCGCCGCAAGCTGTGGCGAGAGGCTGAGGGGCTGGAGCTGCCCCCTGAGCTGCGGGGCGCCGCGTCCCGCAGCCTGCGGCAGTGGTTGGTGGAGCAGGCTGCCTGCCGCCTCACCTCCACATGGGTTGACCTGGGAGCTGTGTTCTGGCCGCGCTGGGTGCGCCACACTGCCTGCGAGACCGGGCCCCGCAGCTGCTCCTGGCCCCCCGGCATGGGCTGCCGGCCCGCACAGCTCACACACATCAAGCTGCTGGCCTGGCACTGCTGGGCCGTGCAGCACCCCGGGCCCCCTCGCTGTGCGTGGCGGCAGATCCCATACCCGGTTGTGGCCGCCTGCAAGTGCTCCTGCCGCTGAGGGGGTGCAGGAGGGCACCTCTACCACCGGTACCTGTTCTCACAGCCAAACAGACGCCTGGACTCAGCCTCAGGGCCAGGGAGCTGGGAGGTAGTCCCTGAAATGGAGAAATAAACTTCCGGAATGAAGTGGGATCAGCTGTGGTCATTGCTGTTTCTCGCCGAAGGCCTTGGGTAGGGAAACACAGCTGCTTTGCCCCTCACCCACCAGCACAGGGAGGTATTAGCACTCGTGGGAATGGGGAATCGAGGCACCCGACAGCAGGTTCAGACCCTGTTTCCATCAGCCCCAGTGGACTTGGTCCATCAGGGAGCAAGGGCAGAGGGATGCCAGCAGGGAAAGGATAGAGGGAATTGAGTCACGGATCAGGGTGGAAACGGTGTGGATAGGGGCTGGAGGGCATCACTGGGAAGGGGAGCAGGTTCGGGGCTGCAGTGAGGCAGCCTGGTAAGGGTGGAGGAAGTGCGGGGTGGGCAGGGACCTACCGCTGGAAGTGGTTTTGGGGGGTGTGTATGGAAACTGGATGGGATAGACAGTGCCCTGCTTCGAGCTACAATGGGTGAGATACAGGGATCCCACACCTATCCCTGTACGTGGTGTAGAGGGCGATGGCTCAAGACCCAGGGGGAAGCCTGGCAGAGCAGTGTACAGGGTCTGGGGTGGGTTGGTGAGCCCGGTGTGGGAACTGCATCCTTGAAAAGTGGCATCTGCTTCTGCATCCCACTCGGCAAAATGCCCTCTGCTTTCTGGGCTATGCTGCACAGAGCTGTACGTCAGTCCTTCGTTGGGAGGCCTGAAGAAATAAAGAGCTGGAGGCTTTGCCTGGGAATGTGGTATTTAGTGCCTGCAGTTAATGGGTGCTGCATTATTCGTTTCCCATGTGCCATCATCCAACCCTCCTGCCTTCCTGCATCCCTGTGTCATGCAAACCACAGTCTGCTGCAGAGCCTGGCCTTGAAGCGGGTGAAGAGGGAGATGGAGAATGGGGGGGATCTGGGAGAGACAGAGAGGAGAGGGAGGCAGAGAGGAGGCGAGAAGCTCAGAGCCCTTGTGTGCACACAAGGACAAGTGTGTGTATTGCAGTGAGGGAGGCTGCTGAGCTGTGAGAGACATCTGTATGGCTGCTCTCCACTGAGGAGGACTTGAGTGCTGAAGCAGGGTTAAACGGCTTGGGTTGGCTGCCCTGAGTGCAGCAAAGACATCAGCAGGGTGACCAGCAGGAGGGAGAGAGATGGGAGCATGGAATGGGATTGCAAAGGGGGTGTGCAAGTAGGGGGGGAGCGAGATGGTGCACATGCATGGGCTCAAAACAGTGGTGGCTCAGGCTGGGCCCTGTCCCAGAGCCCATCTGGCTGAAGCAAGAGAGGCTTGAGCACAACCTCCTGCTGCTTCCCCATTATATTCCCCATTCCCAAGATACTGCCTGTTGATAAGGGGGTAGGGTTTGCAGCACTGGTGCTACGCAGCGGGAGCTCCATATTGTACTTTATCAGCAGGCTCAGCTCAGGGTCCTGTGGAGATGGAAAATGAAATAAAACCAGCACACAGTTGTGGTACCAGCTGCTCTAACAGAGTCTGGTGGCAGCCCTATGGAAAAGGTGATTTCCCCCTGCCCTCTACATCCCATCAAGCCCTGCAATCCTGGATTAACATCTGTGTTCTTCGGCAGCTGCTTTGGTTCAGGTGAGACAAGTTACTGCCCTGTAGCTCGCTCCCTGAGTGCCTAATGGCAGGTAGCATTTTCAGAGCAGGGCTTTGTTAACACGACCCAGTGCTTGGGCACCCAAGCACAGCACAACCTCATTGTGGCTGGAAGCTGTCCCTGGCTGCTGGGGAGGCAGCTGGTCCTCAGCTGAGCACGTGGGCAGACAGCAGGTCACACATGATTTCTCATCTGCAGCAAAACTGATGCAAACAAAGCAATCCTGAGAGATGCCCAGGTCCCACTTAGCTTGAGTGCTAAATTGCTACCCCAGCACAGCTTGCCGGAACAAATCCAGCGATCCCAGCCTGCAGCTGATGGAGGAAAATTACAGGTTTCTGGCACCTGCTCTTCCCTCAGCTTCAGCCCCAGGCAGACACAGTCTCCCTCTCCATGCTGCTGGCCTCTACCACCTCAGCTTGCCTGCTGCCCAGCAGCCTCTCTGGGGCAAGATGCAGCACCCAGATCAGGTTTGGGAGCACCGTAGTGATGGGTAAAGCCTTAAAGCCAGCCCCAGGGAACTAAGCAAGCCTCACACCTAGCACCTAAGAGTGAGAGGGGGAGAAAGGAGCACCAGTTTCAGCTGGCCCATGTCCTGTCTCAGACCAGTTGCTGGTAGCACATCTTGCCAAAGACTTAGGAAACCCCTTGCCTCAGTGGGGAATTACAGCTGTCAGATCTACCAGGGTGATGCTACTGGACCTGCAGGAGAGCACAGAGGAAGCAGGTGACATCAGGCATAGCTACATTTCCATCAGCAGAAGACAGCATGAGCTGCAGTGCTTCAGCACCAGGACTGAGGCTTCCAGAAAGACACAGCAGAGTGTTCAGCCACAGCAAGTAGAAGATGGGGATGGACTGCAGCTCCTGGATGAGAAAACAAGAGCCAGACAAATATCCGCTGCACTGCACGACACCTTTAATGATGCAAGAGCTGGCTGCCAGAGCCACACACTGCAACAGCCACAGCTTCCCGCGGGCTGTGATGCCTTGAGGATTGGTCCTGCTTTTGGCAGCATGCTCCTCAAGCCTTTTCCCCTGGCACAGGCACTTGGTCATGGGCAAGGACAGCACCGCAGCAGGTGTTCGCTGGCCCCTCAAGGTATCGCTCCATGTTTCCGTCCCACCTCGGTGAAGGCTTCCACACAGTGGTCGATATCCTCATCGCTGTGTACAGCCGAGATCTGGACCCGGATACGGGCCTTTCCCTTGGGGACCACAGGGTAGCTGAAGCCAATGACATAAATGCCTGAGGAAGAAATGCAGGGAGAGTTAGAGCTGGCTTGCAGGGAGGGAGGTTGAGGTGGTATTGGGTGATAGAAGGGCTTTTGGATCATCCCTCCCCCTTCAACCATTTCCAGGCTTCAGGGTTTTCAGGGGGCATCTGCTCCCAAGCATGGAAATGAGGCCTAGGGCCAGTGGTGGGGATGGAGTCCAGCCTAGCAGGACAAGAGGGCTAATGTAAACTTCCCACCTCCAACAGAAAGAGGAGGTGAAGTCAGCAACGTCTGGGGGAGACCAAGAGGATGTTTGCAGGTGGAGGCTAAAGAAATAACAGGTTTCATGCAGGAGCATCCTCTGCAGGAGGGATGGTAGCACTACCCCCGGCTGTACTTTCCCTCCGGGCATGTGTCTGCATCTAGAGCTCCCTCTCTGGCTCACCTCTGTTCAGCATGTCCTCAGCCATCACTGCAGCCAGCCGAGCGTCCCCAAGCATGACAGGACAGATGGGGTGGTCTTTCCCTGAGATGGTGAAGCCAGCTGCTGTCATCTTACTTCTGAACCTGGTGAAGAGAACAAGAGGATGAGGCAAACCTCATCACCCCTGTCCTTGGGGGACCACTGCCTCGCCTTCCCCTGGTAGCCTGGGCCACCGAGGGCTGGATGTGGTGCTGCTCCAAAGTGCATCTCCTGTGCAGGGAAGGGATCCCTCTTTTTGGAGTGACCTCCAGCCACTTCCTGCTCAGCTCCATGGGACTGCAGCTGGTTGAGGGGCAGACTCATCCCAGCACACAGAGCATCCGGATCTGTCTGACACACACAGGCACATCCTGTGGTTTCCCCGAGCACCCCCAGGCCATGACTGGTAAACCACCTATGGCTGTCACTGAGGGTGAATAAACACACATGCACAACACATTCCTAAGGAGCCCCTTCCCCTGCTCCCACCCCAGTGTGCTCCACTCACCGTTGGGTCTTGGCAGCCATGGACTGTGCAATGGCATTGCTCTCCATGAGCAGGTCCAGGGCCTTGGATGCACAGCCCACCACGGCGGGGGGCAGGCTGTTGGAGAAGAGGTATGGGCGGGAACGTTGTCGGAGCAAATCAATGAGGGGTTTGGGGCCAGTTGTGTACCCGCCTGCAGATGGATGAAAGACAAATGGACAAGGAACACCAGAGTAACCTGTAACCTACAGGAGGAATTCCAGTACAAAGCAGGCCTAAAAGCATCACAGCTGGTGCCTTTTACTAAGAGTTTCCACCTTGACCCCAAATGCAAGTGCACAAGGAAGATGAAAGTAAAAGAAGTACATGGCAGGACCTCCCTTGACCCTGCGGCAGGGTCCCAAACTGAGCCTCATGCCACCAGTAGAAAAAGACAACATGCAGTTGTGGCTCTATCATTAGGCAGAGGAAGGAAACATCAGTGATGCTGTGGAGCTTGGAGCCCTTTAGGGCATGGAGAACCTTGGTCAGGAAATGCCTTCACCTGCAGCTCCTCCAAGAGCTTTTCCCAGGGTGGAATTGATGATGGTGACTTTGTCCATCACTCCCAGGAGCTCATCAGTACCCCTGTAGTAGAAGGAACATCACATTCTCAGCTGTGCCAGCACACACCAGGGAAGCTGTTCTACACCTGAGGGATGCCTCAAGGGAAACAAAGGGCCACCAGCCAGGTCCCTGCTAAAGGAGTAACACCCCCGTGGTAGTTCAACCCAAGTGTTGACCTTCTCTTCTTCTGCAGAAAGGCTAAGCTAGAATCTCCCAAGATAAGAGCATGGGGTTTTCATCCCTTACAGATGGGAGAGCACTCAAACTTCCCACACAGATGTTTAATAGTGCAAACAGAGCACTAGCAATGCAAGCTTGTGAAGCATCTCTTCTTGGCAAACACTTGCAGCCAAGTGCACTGCTTGACACTTGGAGGATCTCCAGGGGATGGAAGGAAAACTTGCCCTGAGGGAATTAATCAAACTTGCCCTGAGGGAATTAATCTGTGCAAGCTAACTCCACAAAGCCCCCAAGCATTTGAAAGTGATATCTGAGAGGAGGATTTGGAAATCAGGAAGTCCAACTGGCTCCCATTTGGAAGCAGATGAGATGGTCACACCATCCCTTACACACTGATAAGCAGCTGTCATGTTGGGATGGGTCATTGCTAAAGTATCTCCCTCCAGGTGCCCTGAAGATGGGGTGCAAAACCTTCAAGCAGTGGTGACCCCCCCACAAAAATATGTTAGTTATCAATACCCTTGGCCTTGCTTCAGAGGCTATTGGGCTATTGGGGAAGAAACAGGGTTGAAACGGCCACTTACCGGCCATTGGGTCCCAGGAAGCCTGTGGCATGGCATTCATCAATGAAGACCAGGGCATCGTACTTCTGGGCCAGCTGGCAGATCTCCCTCAGGGGTGCAATGTCACCATCCATGGAGAAGGCACCATCAGTGGCCACCAGCCGCAGACGATGTTTCTATGGGAGGAAGAGTGGTGCCTCCAGGGGTGAAGATGTCACCCTGAGGAGAGGGGCTGGCGAGGAAGACTGGCACATAGCTCAACTCCTGTAGGGCATGGATGTATCTAACTGAGACAGGGGGGTCTGCACTGCAACCAGCTGCTTACCCTCCTTGCCCATCCATGCCTACACGTGCCTGTGGGCAAAACCAATGCCTACTGCATGGGAAAAGGTAGAGCTCACCCTTTGGGGCTGGTTACTGCAGCACAGCTAAGCTCACACTAGGGTGGGAGCAGACCTCCATACCTGCGCGTCCTGCAGCTTGGCTTCCAGGTCCTGCATGTCCATATGCTTGTAGCGGTACTTGTTAGCCTTGCACAGGCGGATCCCGTCAATGATGGAGGCATGGTTCAGCTCATCTGACAGCACTGCATCCTCTGGGGTCAGCAGGGCCTGGTCATGCCAAAGAGAAAGGATCATCCTTTGCTCCAGGGCACCATCTCACCAAGATCTTCCAGCATCTCTCAGGGCAGAGGACAAGGCTGTGTCTGACTGCAGCTCCCACGTCTCTCCTGGCACCGCTTAACTTTCCACTTTCCTTGCCAGTCACCTTATCCCCTTATTTCCTTAGGCCAGGCTCTTGCCTGTGGCTTCTGAGCTCAAAACCTCCCTCACCTTTCCTAGCAAACCTGGGGAATGGCCTCTTTTCCCTGCCTATGCTTCAAAGGGGAGTACAGACCTCCCACAGAATGGGAGCCCTCCCCAAAAGCTGGAGCCTGTCTTGAGAAGGGGGAGGTGAGGCTGATTAAACACCTCCTCATGGCTTCCCCAGTCCCAGGGCACCAAGCTGGGGTTCTCCACCACCAGTCACTACCATCTTTTCTGTGGCACAGAGCTCACATCGTAGCCTCTGGAAGGCATGGCAGGCACATTGGCATCACCTCCCTCCTGCATGCACAACACAATGAAAGCCCTACAAACCTCAAAGATGCCAGCGTTGGCATCAAAGCAGCTGGGATAGAGAATGGCATCTTCCCGCTGGTGAAAACGTGCAAGCTTCTCCTCCAGGTCCTTGTGTATGCTCTAAAGAGATGAGAGGAGCAAGCGTCACTGGCGGGGCAGCACAAGTCCTCACTTGCCCACGGCTGTTAGATGCTGACTGCAAGGGGAAGAAACAGACAGGTTTTATCCAGAAAAGGTGTGCGTGCATGGCAGAAATTAGTTGCGTTCAGCATGTGTTTGCAAACACAGACCTAAAATGCGGTTATGGGTTTGGACACCACAAGCACAGCAGAAACTCCAAGCTCCCCACCCATGGGGGGAATTTTCTTTGCACTTAACTAGCTGACGGGGATAAACCAGGCTGGGTTTGATAGAGGCAATTCAAGTCAGGCTGGCTGCAATTTTGACCCTTAAGGGAGGGGAAAAGACATCAATTTTCTGAATGTCTTTCAAACTTAGGGGAGATTTAGATTAGATAAAAGGAAGAAATTCTTCACTATGAGGGTGGTGAGGCCCTGGCACAGGTTGCCCAGAGAAGCTGTGGCTGCCCTATCCCTGGCAGTGTTCAAGGCCAGGCTGGACAGGGCTTGGAACAACCTGATCTAGTGGAAGGTGTCCCTGACTGTGGCAGGGGGTTGGAACTGGATGAGCTTGAAGGTCCCTTCCCCAACTCAAACCATTCTGTGATTCTATGGTTCTATGAGTTCAGAGGGGTGTTTGGTTCCTTTGTTCTCTGAGGGGTTGTAACACTTTAAGTTGGCATATTTCCAGATGTTCAGCTGGTGCGGACACAGCCGGCTCTTTTTCCACCTGGCCACGTGTAACTTAGCACTGCACATACACGTGAGTACTGAGAAGGGAGTCTGAGAATGGCTACCCTAGAGGAAGGCATGCTGCCCTGTACCTGGGTACCACAGATGAAGCGGACAGAGCTGAGCCCAGCGCCGAACTCCTCCAAGGCCTCCACTGCAGCGCGGATCACCTCGGGGTGGCTGGAGAGCCCCAGGTAGTTATTGGCACAGAAGTTGAGGATCCCTGCGGGGAAGAGAAAGAGAGAAGCACTGAGCGAGGGCGAACGGGGACAGAAGCCGATGACACCGAGCGCCTGCCCCATACTCACCGCCTCCTCCGCCCGTCAAGCGGAGGTGGGGGCCTTGTCGGGAGGCGATCACCCGCTCACTCTTCCAAGTGCCGGCGCCTCGGATATCCTCCAGCTCGTTCTCCAGCAGCCGGCGGAGCTGAGCCGAAGCCGCTCCCGATGAGGACCGGGGGGTCCCGGCCCCGCAGACCCGCAGCGTCCTCACGGCCGCACCGCGCCACATCCCGATGCCCCGCTCCTCCCCCTGGCGGGGAGGAGCGCAGCTAGGGAGGTGCTTGGCTCCAGGCTCGGGGAAGAGCGGCTGGAAAGCTGCTCATGGAAAAGGACTTGATGATCTTCAAGGTCTTTTCCAACCTGCTTGGTTCTGTGATTCTGTGTTGGGGTTGTTGAGCCTGGAGAAGACTCCAGCGAGGCCTTCTTGTGGGCTTTCAGTTCTTAAAGGGTCTACAAGAAAGATGAAGAGAGACCTTTCAGCAGGCCCTGTTGCAATAGGACGAAGGGTAATGATTTTAAACTAAAAAAGGGGAGATTCAGGCTGGATGTGAGGAAAAAATCCTTTACACTGAGGGTGGTGAAACACTGGCACAGGGTGCCCAGAGAGGTGGTGGATGCTCCATCCCTGGAGACATTCAAGGCCAGGCTGGATGTAGTTCTGGGCAACCTGGTCTGGTTGAAGATGTCCCTGGATTAGATGAGCTTTGAAGGTCCCTTACAACTCAAACTATTCTATGGTACTATGATTCTATGTACTATGTCCTGGAGGATTTTTGAGCAACAGGCCGTACTGCATCTTGAGGGTCAACAAGCCCAGGAGCATTAGGTCTTCCCACCTGAGGGACTTGGGGTGCTCAGCACAGGTGACTTGGGTCCTCTCCTAGGTGGTTTGTGGGTGTCCACCATAGAGGGTAATGAACCAAAGGGTCTGTAGGATGTGGGCGCATCCAGCTGAGGTGACCAAGGACCTACCAGCTGAAGGAGACTGGGTGTCTGAGCCTAAGGGATTTGAGTTTGTGACCCACAAGTCCACTGGGTTTAGACACACAGAGTCCAGCTAGATCAGGCATCTCCATCCTCCACTATAGCTGACTGGGGAATCCTGAGGCCAGGGTGGTGTAGGCCTGTCATGTCCAGGAGAATTAGGCACCAGGCTCTTGAAAGGGTCTTCAGCCTAGGTAGGCTGGTTTGGTCCGAGGATCTCAGGTACAAGATCCTAAAGGGATTAGGTGCCTCCTTGCCAAGGATTTCAATACCATGAACTACAGAATTCAGGATCTTTGATGGCTAAAATGCTCAGGCACCATCTGCCCAAGTGATTTAGGATAGTCAGGCCAATGGGTCTGGGAGTGTGAAGATGCTGGGCCCATGAGATTTAGGCACAGCAAGCCCAAGGGGACTGGGCACCCACAGCATGGAGGATTTTGGAGCTCCTGATGTCTGTAGCCAAGGGGGGTCAGGCACCTCCTGCCTGAGGCTCAGATCCTGCTATCAGGAGCATGCAGCCCTGCTTGGGGAAGGGCTCTCTCCAGGGCCAGTCCGGCCCTGGAGTCGTGCCAGCCCCCCTGGGCAGAAAGCCAGAGCCCCGGGGTGATAGCGGGGCCGTGTCCAGCAGACCTGCCTCACCCTGCCTGCCTGCAGAGCTGCCCACTGCCATGCTCAGGACCATTCCTTCCCATGAATTAACCCCTTCCCTCTTGCTGGACACCTCCAACTCCTTGAAAACAAATGTGGACAGACCCTGGCCCCGCTCCACCTCCCCCATCCCATCCCTGTCACCACCACCCAGCTGAGGCAGGCAGCCCCATCACCCAAGTGGTTGTTATCTCCAGCACCCAACACCATCTCCAGACCTCACATGCAGCACCCTCACCTCAGACCCATGGTGGGGACCCAGGGAGGTGGAATAAACCCCTTTTCCTCCTCCGGGGAATGCCGTGGCTGCACGTTCCCATTTCCCCTCCAACACAGGCAGGCTTTGCCTGGCCCCAGCAAACACACAAACCCCCAAGGAGCCTGGGCAGGATCAGTAACTGAAACCCTGTGTGGCCTCGACGGACACACTGAATCACCAGCACTCAAACACCCAACAAGCAGCCCACCAGTAGCAAAAAAAACAAACAAGACACACAAGAAATTTCTGAGACTTCGAAATAAAAACCCAGACCAGTAACTCTTACAAATGGGAACTCTCCGTACCAAAGGTGTTCCTTTTTCCTTTCATTAACTGCCTTGTTTTAATTATTTCCACACAAGAATCAATTCTTTATAAAATGCGATAGAAATGGGTAAAAATAAAGGCAAACGCTATTTACAGAAACCAACAGGGAGAGTACCGAAACGCCTCTTGGCTTCTTATTTCTTCTTGGGTGATTTACGGGCGCTGGACTTGGCCTTGGGTTTTGACCGCTTTGCCTTCTTGGGCCTGGACACCTTCCGTGACTTGGCTCTAACAGTCTTTGGCCTCTTGGCTTTCTTCGGGCTGGTCCTCGTCTTCTTCCTGGCTCTTTTGGCGGCAGACTTGGGCTTCTTTGCTGGAGACTTGCTTCTCCTGCGCCGAGCCGCTTTCCGGGGCGACGTGGATCTCCTGGCCGTCTTCTTCCTCTTCCTAGACGGGGACCTCTTCGCCTTGTTGCCCTTGGCCAGGCGGAAAGAGCCGGAGGCGCCAACGCCTTTGGTCTGCTTGAGGACACCGGTGGCGACGAGGCGTCGGATGGCGAGCCTGATCTGGGCGTCGGCGTTGTGGCCCACCTTGTAGTGGCTCTTCACGTACTTCTGGATGGACTGCCGGGACGACCCGCCGCGGCTCTTCTCGGCGCGGATGGCCGCCGCGATCATGTCCGAGTAGGTCGGATGAGCCGCCGGCCGCCGCGCCGCCCTGGCCCGCTTGGGCTTGGGGGCCGGAGCCGGGAGCGGGATGGGGCTGTCCGACATGGTCAGCGCTTCGCGACGCCCGGCGATGCCCTGCTCGGCGGGAAGGCTCGTCCTGTCCTGTCCCGCCCTGCCGGCGCCCCCGCCCCTGGGCGGGGATTGGCTGGCGGAGGAGCGGTGGGTGAGGACCGCAGCAGACCCCGGTGCCGCTCCCGGTGCCGGTGCCGCCGCCGCCTCTGCGGCCGCGCACGATCCGGTCGCCCTTTTAAAGGCGCCGTGCGGACCGCGGGGAGGACTGCCCCCTGCGCGCGCCACGCGCGACCCGCCCGCCCACCCCCGCCACCCGTGTCCCCGGGTGTCCCCGAGCCGAGCCGGCGGGATGGGACAGGGATGGGCACTGGGGATGGGGAGGGACACTGGGGGGCAATGGAGCGGGACAAGGAAGAGTATCTCGGAGGACACTGAGTGGGGGCAAGGAGGGACACTGGGGGACACGGAGGATGCTGCGGGACAAGGAAGAGTATCTCGGAGGACACTGAGTGGGGACAAGGAGGGACACGGAGCAGGACAAGGAAGAGTATCTCAGAGGACACTGACTGGGGACAAGGAGGGACACTGGGGGACACGGAGGATGCTGCGGGACAAGGAAGAGTATCTCGGAGGACACTGAGTGGGGACAAGGAGGGACACTGGGGGACACGGAGGATGCTGCGGGACAAGGAAGAGTATCTCGGAGGACACTGAGTGGGGACAAGGAGGGACACTGGGGGACACGGAGGATGCTGCGGGACAAGGAAGAGTATCTCGGAGGACACTGAGTGGGGACAAGGAGGGACACGGAGCAGGACAAGGAAGAGTATCTCAGAGGACACTGAGTGGGGACAAGGAGGGACACTGGGGGACACGGAGGATGCTGCGGGACAAGGAAGAGTATCTCGGAGGACACTGAGTGGGGGCAAGGAGGGACACTGGGGGACAAGGGCAAACATTTGGGGGGACACTAGGTGGGGACAACAAGGGACACTGGGGAACAAGGAAAAGCATTTGGGGGACACTGGGTAGGGACAAGGAGGGACAATGGGGAGTGCTTGGGGACACTGGAAAGATAGAGAGGGACATAGAAGGGACACTTGGGGCAACATCAAGACATGTTGAGGGAAACGTAAAGGGGATGCTGAGGGTGAGGGAGGACATTTGGGGAGGACAGAAGGAGCAACACAAGGAGAAACATTAGAGTACAAGGAGAGATGTTGGGGAGGGCATCAGGCAACAAGGAGGGACTCTAGAGGGGACACCAAGGAGAAAAGGGTGAGCACTGAGCTCAAAAAAGACTCGGCAGCAATAACCCACTGCCCAGTGCCTCTGCCCTCTTTGTTCCCCACCGGCTGCTTTGGGGACACCAGCTCAGCCCTCGCATGTCAGGGGTCCCAAACAACAGGCTGTCCCCTTTTTGGGGGAGACAAGCACAGCTCCTCATGAGGGGACAGATGCCAGTGACAGGCATCCTTACCCAGCTGCCCAAGTGATCGGCTGTTCCTGGGAGATTAAATGTAGCTGCTATCAGCATATTGCCTGTAGGATTTTGATCATGTTTTCCCCCTTATTTCTTAAAAACGTGGGTGCAGCCACCTTTTGCCCACCAACACACTGCATAGTGCTTGGGGTGAACCCTAGCACCTCCAAACTTCCCCCTGCTTCAACAGCGTGGTAAAATACACAACAAGCACCTGCCTGTAGCTTCAGTGTGCCCTGCATCCCCCAGAGAATGACAACCACTGGCCAGGGACACGCAGAAGTACACATAGAAATAGACACAGATCTATAAATACAAACAAATGTAGATGTAGAAACATAAAAGGGTGCTGAGGCACTGCCACAGGGTGCCCCGAGAAGCTGTGGCTGCCCCATCCCTGTCAGGGTTCAAGGCCAGGTTGGACGGAGCTTGGAGCAACCTGGTCTATGGAAGGTGTCCCTGCCCATGGCAGGGGGTTGGAACTGGATGAGCTTTAAGGTCCCTTCCAACCCAAACCAACTCTGTGATTCTGTGATACTAAATAGAATAGAAATAGTAGAATTAGAAATACTAGAAAATAGAAATAATTTGATGCACTCTCCCTAACATATAGAGGTGCTGTGGGAGGGTGCAGCATGCCCCTGTCCCAGAAGGAGGCACTAGGCCCCCTGATGCCGTCCCATCGGTGGAAGGGCTGTCAGGGCATCCCCTTGTGCTTCCCTCCCTGGTGCTGCTCTTTCATGTGCCCCTCTTCATTTGGAGAGTAGGAACGGTTCGCAGCACCTGCAAACTACTTGATTTTATTAAGAGCAAAGAGCTTCTGATTGCAGGGAGGAATAACTGCCTTCCCACCCCCCTTGGGTTGTTTTTTCATGCTTAAAACATAACGAATACATCACTTTGCACCCCACATAGGCACAAGCTCTGTTGGCCTCTGTACAACACTTTGACCGCCTGAAAGACGCTCTAATTTTTCCTAGACGGGAATAAACGGCCATCGCTGGCTGCCTGCACGTAGGCAAACCAGGAGCACGCAGATAAGGCACCATCTGCTTTTATTTGCATCCAAGTTTTCAACTGTCACAAGACGGGCTATGAGGGTAGACAAGAAGGAGGGGTAACATCATCCCAGAGCCCCTGGGGTGGGCACAGTGCCGCGGGCTGACCACAGAGCCTCCAGGCTTCAATGCCATTATCAGGGCAGCACAGTGATGGGAAGGCAAAAGGGGGGGGAGGCAGGGAGGGAGGAAGGCATGTGTTTTACCTAACTTTAGCCAGCTGAAAATTAGGGGTCTAATCTCAGCCCATCACCTGGGCACCTCCTGCAGTCCAACAGGGCTGCTCAGCATCTTCCAGTGGGTGCCGCTGCTGGCGGGCAAACACCCTCTCCCCTGTACATGGGAGAGATACAACCTTTCCATCCCTTTCGTGCAGACCCTTTCCAACACTTCCACCCCTAGCATTTGCCCAGTCAAAATAGGGGGAAAGTCCCTTCCACCCCTTTCATCCAGACCCTTTCCAACACTTCCATCCCTAGTATTTGCCCAGTCAAAATAGGGAGAAGATCCCTTTCATCCAGACCCTTTCTAATACTTCCATCCCTAATTTTTGCCCAGTCAAAATAGGGAGAAGATCCCTTTCATCCCTTTCATCCAGACCCTTTCCAATGCTTCCATCCCTAGTATTTGCCCAGTCAAAATAGGGCATAAGATCCCATGCCACCAAGGAACTTGGAGGGAAGGTGCACATTGATCACAGCTCATTAGACTGCTGTTGGACTTGTACATAGAGAGGAACCCACTTGGTACTGGAAAGCACCCCTGGAACCCTGCTCTGTTTTACTGATGCATCCTTAATATGAGCTGGGCAGAACCAAGAGAGGTTTTCTGGCTCCTGGTGGGGTGCCGGGGCTGGAGATGAGGTACAGATGCTGCAGGGCAATGCAAGCCCTGCTGCCTGTGGGAAGTGGAGCCAAGGCAGCATGGAGGGCGCTCATCTGGAAGGGAACACTATTCCCACAGGCCACTCACGCTGCCATGCCTGGCTTGGGCTCGTGCCTTCATTTTTGGCCACAGGAGCCAGCCACCATGCACAGGGTGGGGTGCATTACCCCTTGAATCCACTTTTCTCCCTGAGGAGAGCTACCTAACAGCTCCAAGCCTCCTGTACCTCCTGTTTCTGGCATTAGTTAGCAGGGATTGGGAAATCCTGCTTCTCTGACAAACCCCAGAGGATAGAGGCCAGATGAATCCTCTCCGTAATCCCATTCACCTTCTCCCTCTCCACACTGTGTTCAGCCAGACCCCACGGGGATTTATGCACTTCCAGCTGTGGATTTCATCTTAAATGGTCAAACCATGAGCACCGTGGATGTGCTATGGATCCCCTTGTAGGGGCAGGACAGCTGTTCACTGGCATTTGAGTGCACTGGGGCACTTCTGACGTTTGATTTTACCTGCTTTCCGTTTCCAAAGAGACTCAAAACCCCCAGCACTAGGACTTGCCCTTGCTGACACTCAGGTTCAAGCTTCAGTGCTTTGTCTAGTGGCAAAACAGGGGAATTTGCTGATTTTCCAGTGTGCTCACCAGAGCGTCAGCCCTGAGCCCCCACTGTGCAATGCAGCGTGGTCAACCCAGCACGAAGCCACTCAGCCCAGACACCATGAATAGCAGAGCTAGCTTTAACCATGGCAAGGTTAGACAGTGCCTTTGGCTGACACAGTCTAGTGTGAGGCATCCATGCCCATGGGGAATGGAACTGGATGATCTTAAGGTCCTTTCCAACCCAAACCATTCTATGATTCTATACGAATGAATGGCAAAGGGATATTGCCTCTGGTTGCTGGACTGATCACCACTGTTTTGAAATATTTATGAGCTGTCCTAAAAGGCAAGCTCCTTATGTGAGCAGGGATGCTGGCTCTCATGCAAACCAGGGTACTGTAGAGCTGTGGGGCTCCCCTTTGCCAGAGGGACATTTCTCACATCCACAACGTGGCTGTGAGCAGGTTGATGGGGTGGAGGCATCACTTTGGGATGCTTTCTTGGGCTCTGCTGTCCATTGCGTGGGCATTGCAGTCATCTCCCTCCCTGCCACGCTCCCCACACCCAGCTCCCCTGCACCCAGCAGATAATGATGCAGAGATGACGGGGTGACCATATCACCCTGACACAGGCGAGGCCTGGGCTGCCCGATTAGCACCGTGCCGGTTTGGGAGGTGTTGGCGCACCATCACCCCGGGATGACGGGATGCTCCTAGCTGGCTGGTGCTGATCTGCTCATCTCGGACACATGTCGGGTGCCTGCACATTTCGCCTGTGCTGATGCGACACATTTATCGGGGTCAGCAGTCCCTGCTGAGGAAGGGTAAAAAAAACCCAACAAACACCACCCAAACAAACCAACCCAAACAAACACAAGATAGGGAAGCATTCAGGGAAGGAGCCGGTGAGCAGCGTGCTGAGAACTGCGCACAGCAGCAGTCTGCATTCACCCCACGCTCACCCCCAGTGCCCCATTTTTGGGGGGTTTCCTCTCAGGGAGCGGGTTTTACCACGCAGACTGTAGTGTCAGTGTTTGTTTGTTCTAAAACCAATGCACACACACACCAGCCTGCAACCCTGTGCCCCGTACCCAACTTCACTTCCTTCTTGTCCCCTACTAAACCCTCATGGTGAGACCAAGCCCTGCAGCCTGGAAGCATTTGCCCTGAGCTACTCTATCACTTCAGGCTTTCCTTCCCATCTCAGCTCCTGGTGTGCTGAACGTGCACCCATCCCATGGCAACAGCCATGTCCTGCTGGGGGGCAGAGGGAAAAGCCTGGACCTTGGGCAGCACAGGGGCAGGCAGGTCTCCAGGCAGGAGGCCAAGCACCAGCAAGAGCAAGCCCTGGCTCTGCACGGGTGCAATAGGGAGCTGCCTGCTGAACTCGGTGCCTCACCTCTTGCACCATCCACCAGGTTGCTCAAGGGCCTCACGCATGTGACTAAAGCCTGCAACCCAGTTTTACTGGAATTTGTGAGGTATGAAGCAGCTTGCCTTATGTAGGGAAAGCAGTCACTGCAGCCATGTCCATGGAGAAGTGGGTCTGTATCTGCCTGCACCCCGTGCCCCAGGAGCACCGGTGCATGGTGAGGTTATCACACACTGCTGCCCTAACTCTCCTCATTGCACTGCCACCGGTGTCCTTACACCCTGCTCTCCTCCTCACGTCTCATAGTACTCCAGCCTTCCAGATGATGTATCCATCACATCCAAGGGTCCTCCTTGAGCATCTTCACTTCTTCAGATGTCACCTCCAGCCGTGGCATGAGCCCGCAGTTAAGGCTCTTCTGTAATTGCCAACAGCCTCTATGCAGAGCAACAGCTCATGTTTACATTGGAATGGGGCCGAATGAGGAGCAGTAACCCCCAGGTCCTCCACCCTGACAAAAAAAGCAATGTGCATCACCCAAAAACGCGAGGAGGAAAGCACCTGAAATCCCTCTGATCTTCCCCAGGATCTATACATACTGCTTACCCTGCCTGTAGCTTGCAGTGCCACCTGCCCTCCCTGTTACTGCATTTACTGATGCAGCCCAGACTCCTTGGGGCAGAGGGTCCAAGTGGGATTTTCTTAGCGGTGTGGTGAATCAGATTATTTCCCCCCAAATCCAGAGGTGAAGCAAACAGCTGGCTAACAGCACTGCAGGACTCTCCCTCCCCACATCCAGAGGGAGGGAAGCGACAGGTCAGGATGTCCCAAAACCACACGGGAACCTGGAGAAACGACCCAGCACCACCAGCATGGGGGTCAGGGCCACTTGGGAAGCCTTCCCCTGCAGGAACACATTTTTTTCAGCGAAAGGGGAAGATTTTATTAAGTTAAAAGTTGAAGGGCGCAGCAGAGCAGCAGCTGCCACCTTGAGGGGGAGGTTGGCTCTGGCGAGTGCAGTAGCAGCCTCACAGCTCCTCTTCCCCACACAGGAGAAGCCCCGCGTCTCTGGGCTCCAGCCAGCTTGGGTTCTCGAAGGAGCCAATGACAGTCACGGAGAGAGCTCGATCATGCGGACTCTTGCCAAGGTCTCCTCTTTCCAATGTCCCCGGCAAGCACATCCATGGCAGACTGCCCCAGAGGCTCCCTCCTATGGCTTGCAGTCTTCTCCCAAGGTCCCTGGGGTGGCACAGGGGGGGAGTGTGGTCCTTGCCATACATCCCCTGGGGGCCGTGAAGACATTCGGAAGAGAGGGAGCATGTGCCAAAGGTGGCTGTGTAGGGCTGGGGAAGGGGCGACAACCAGATTCTCTTTTTCAGGTTAGAAAATGTGGATGATGTAGTAAAAGTTTTCCCCCCTCCTCTTCCTCTTCTTTCCGGGAGGAAAAATCCTCTATAAAATATAATTTTCACATATAAAATCCTGAAGAAGGTGCATGTAAGGAGCCAGTCCAAACAATGTGCTCAGGTACGCAGGCAAAAGGGGTTCATCATAAAAGCTTTGGGAGGGGAGTGAGGAGGTTGGGGGTGTGTAGGATTCCTTGCCAAGGCGATAACGGATGGGATTCAACCTCCCCCTCCCTGCAAGTGAGGAATGGAGCAAATACAAAACAAGAACAGATAAACAAATGAAGAGCAGACCTGGAGAGAAAGAAAAGCAGAAATGGTTTAGAAAGGCTCCCCTGAGCACAGAAACACTGCTCCGTCTGGTTCCCTGCTACAGACCCACTCATCTCAGCATCCACCAGCAAACAGAGCTGAGTGACCCAAATCCCGATGGCCACAGAATTGGAGCAAGAAGCAGAAGCACTCTGGACAACAGGATGTCCTCATTCTGTTTTCCTTCACCCCTTCATTCATGCAGCAGGGATGCCTGCAGGTGAGTATGGGAGTGGGGCTGGGTCACGGCTGCTTTGATGCAGACCTCAAATTTCTGTGCTGTGATAGGGAAACCACTTCAAAGACAAAAGCAGCAGACACATCATCTATGTAGGCAGCACACAAGCTTCCTCATGCCGTCACCCAAGCTACAGGGCAAAGGCCAGCATCTGGTTGGCTCCCACCTCCTACCACATTGGTGGTGGCCGCAGGAGCATCAAGAGCAGCATGGTGAGAAGGAGGCTGGGGACCTTGGGAGAACGTCAGGGACAACAGCCGGGATGGGACAAGAGGACGCAAGAAGCAGAGAAGAGAAAGTTTAAGCCTGAAGGTTGAGCACTGAGTAGGGTAGGAGGAACCAGCAGCTCCCATTGCCATCACAGTGACTCGCACCCACTGGGGATGTCACTGCATCTCCATTGCTCACCGTTACTCGCTGACACTGTTGCGCAGCGACTCCTTCTCCTGCAGAGCCGCCATGGCCAGGCGCAAGTGCTCCTTCAGCTGCTCGATCTCTCGCTCTGAGCGCACCTTGATGTGATTCAGCTCTGCATAGACATCTTGGTATTTCCCTGAGGCAAATCTCTTATCCTGACAGGGGACAGAGAGGGGGCAGTGGGTTTTAGGGCCAGTATTAGGGATGAGGGCAGCAAGGAAAGTGCAGCATGAGAAGAGCCAGCAGGTGAGGTGATGGGTTTGAAGCCCATCCCAATCTGGGCCACACAGAAACCATTCAGAAGAAGAGCACGGAGATAGCACTTCGCAAACCCTGGGCCAGGGAGAAAGGCAGTTACTGGTCCCACAGCAGTAGGGATCTGCAGCATCAGGCTGAGGTGATGTGGGTTTTAGTATGGCTTGTGTGTGTTTGGGCAAGCCATATGGGAAAAATAAACCCCCCTAGAGGTGCAGGCTGCTGAAAGGGCTGGTCCCAGCCACTTATATGGCAAAAAACTGAAGTGAGAAAGTTATAAACTGCAAGAGCACCACTGAATCTCAAAGCCTCTTTCAGGTTCTCCTCTGGCAGGAGTCTTTGAAAATGCCTCTGAAGGAGCTGCTGCCAGTGGAGGGAGCAGCACACCCAGCAATGGTGCCCAAGGAAACTCATCCATCCAGCAAAGGGACAACTAGGGGAACAGAAGTGATGGGCAGGCTTCACCTGGGAAAGAAGGGATCCTGGCTTGTTCGTGCTTATACGTACATACGTCTGGGGAAACCAGCAGTAAAGTCACAGTGACATTTCCCTTGTATAAAGGTAAGTCACTACCAGCCTTTACTGTTCGGAGCACGTGGTTGGTATGTGCTCAAGAGCAAGCAGGGACGAGGAGCACAGAGGATTTGGCCTGAGCACCCCATCAAACCCAGATAAATCCTACTAAGACGCAGTCCCGGTGCTCCCCTCTCTCCCCTCTCCTGCTGCTTTCCCAATGCCTCCCTGAAAACACCAACCTTTTGCATCATCTGCAGCTCCTCCCGGAGGCACTGCACCTCTTTCTTTAGGTACTGGAGCTCATTCTCCTTCACCCGCAGCAGCACCTGGGTCGAGGAGAGGCGAGAAGAACCCGAGGTGACTCAAGAGTCAACGCCTCAGAAAGGCTCTGGCGCAAGGGCAGTGGTGGAAAAGGAAGGAAGGGCCAGGAGGGCTGGGGCAGGAAACGGCGTGAGCAGCCCCAGAGAGCAGAGGAGGGGAAGCTTGTGTACCTGCTTCCTGCACTGGCCCCTGCTCCATCCGGCAACCCCCTCCCACCTGCTCCAAGCCAAAACCACTGCAAGGAGGAGACCCCCGGCACGGGGTGGGGATGGAGGTATCGGGGCAGCCAGGGGAACTCTGTACCTCCAGCTCGCAGGAGCTCCGCTCATTGTTGTTCGGAGAGCGGTCCCCAGAGTTCCGTGAAGAAATGAAGCTTCGCAGCTTCCCTATCTCATCCGAGAGGCGGGTCTGCAGCTCCTGCAGGCACAACCAAGAGACATCAATGGCACAGGCCTCTCTGCTGTCCTCATCCTTCCTTCACATACCAGCCCTACTCGAGCTTGGAGATGTCCTTGTAACCCCCTGCACACAGGTGATGGTGACACCTTCAACCAGCAGAATTCACTCACTGTATTTAACATCACAGTTAAGGCCATCTATAGTCTCCAACTCTCTATTTTTTTTTTCTGATGGTAAAATCTCAGAAGGGAAGAAATGTGAAGAAATCAGGGTGTTTTAACAGAGGGGCTGTGCTATACATGGGTCCCTGAGGGCAGGGAAAGCCTTTCTCTTGCCTGATTTTTCCGGAGGAGCTCCTTCCCCTCCTGCTGACAGTGCTGCAGCGTCTGCTCCCGTTCCTCTGCCTTCTGTGTGAGCTCCCCAATTTCCAGGCACTTTTGGGAATACTGCTCAGAGAGCACCTGCAGCTCCCGCTTCAGGGATTCCACGTCCAACCTGCCGAAGAGGCACTGATTCATCACTGCCCATAACAACCCTCACCGGCCCCTAGCCTACAGCAGCCTCTGTCCACGTCAGTCATTGGCACAAAATAAGGTTCCCTGTGGACCAGTTCCCAACCTCCTACACATAAGTGCAGTGCTTCTAGAAGAAACAGAGGAGCTTTCCATAAAGAAAATAGAGGGAATAAGCTGTAGGGAAAACAGAGGTGATGTAGGGAAAATAGCCAAGCAGGGGATAAACTTCCCTGTCTTACAGCTCCAGAAATCCTGGCAGTCACTGCTGGGCACCCACCATCCCTGCGGAGGGAGCTGGCGGCTACGGATGCAGATTGGGTGAGGTGACCCTGGCACAGGGTGGCAGCATCAGCCAAGAGGAGTGGGAGAGATGGTTTCTTACTGGTGCTGCTTCTGGAGGGCATCTGAGACAGAGCTGCACTGCTGGAAGCTTCGTGTCCTGCACAGCTCCTTGTTCATCTCCTCCCGGTGGGCTTTCTTCAGTGCCTCGATGGCTGCAGAGGGGGACAACAGGAGATGGGGGGTCAGGCTATGCCAGCTCCAGCACATCCAAGGAAACCACACCAGAGAACTGGTTGAGCTCCTGCTGCCAGAGCTGTCTTTGCAGATTCCCCCACCTTCCCTTCTGCCCTCAGGATCATCCCAATGCACCAAATGCTGCCAAGGAGACTAACACAGGGCAGCGTGGGAGCTCCATGCCACCTCCATGCCACCTCCACATACCTACAAGAAGCTGTCGGCTCCCTTCAACCCATCCACAGAGGCAAGACCTCATTTCCAGGGGATCTTTACCATCCCATTGTCCCTGCCCCAGCCCAAACAATCCCCACACACAGCACAGAGCCGAGGAGCCCCACGCTCATGCTCCAAGGAGCATGAGCCTCACACCAGCAGGGTCATCTGTGTGGCTCCAGATGACTGAGACTGGCAAGAGACATCTGGGAGTGGTGGGGTCACAGCTTGGTGTTTGCTCCTACCTGCTGCTGTCGCTGCTGCCTCCTCTGCCAGGAGCCGCTCCTTTTCCTGCCGCAGCCGCTCCAGCTCCCGCTGGTGGTGCCGCTGGAGCTCCTCCATCACTTGTTGGTGGGATGACTCCATCGCAGCCAGGCTGCGTTCACAAGCCTCCTGCCATGCCAGGGAAAGGAGGGGTGAGGGATCAGGAGGAAAGGATAGGGCCAGGACAGGCACCTGGCTGGGCTGAGGTTTGCAGGGAGAGAAATGTTCCTCTTGCTCATAGCAGCAAGACAGGAGCATCCCTCTTGGGACAAGAGCTGGGAATAACATGCCTGACGCACCAGTCACTGCCTGGCTGGAGGACATCAACAGTTGGAACTGCATCTCAGTATCTGCCTTTCAAATGAAGCAGCATTTCCCAGAATCAATGAAAATTGAGCCTCTTGTGAAAAGCGACACCCTGCACTGCCCTGTGGCTGGGCAGAGGCTGGCAAAGAGCCTTCCCCAAAGCCTAATGGTTAGGGATCCTCCTCACACAGCTCAATCTCCTTTCTGATGGCCCTTGAGACCAGGGGTGTCTCATGTTCTTTCAGTGCCCTTCAAGCACTGTGGTTAACTGGTGTTAGCACAACAAAGTGGTTCCCACTTCAGAGCTGTGCCTCTGCTCTCCCTTCAGACTGGCAGCACTGCCCCAAGCCCCACAGGAAGTGTTTGTTCACCACCAAACCACGCCAGATTATTTTTAAAAGCCAGGGACTCTTAAGACATCAGCAGAGACCCAGGAAGCTGTCATGTCCCCCAACTGCCCCTTGCCATCCCATTCCTTCCCCCAGTACTAAGGCTAAGGCTGATATAAAGGGCGCGGTGACGCAGTGAGGGAACGCAAGTCCTTGCTGGCTACTCCTCCCTCCCGAGGCAAAGGAAGCTGGGAAGCTTCACGTATCAGCCAAAGGAGAGGAACAAGGCAAGGGATCAATCTGGTTATCTGTCCAGAGCCGGGCTGCAAACCTCGGCAGACTAAGGGAGAACAAGCGCTTTGCGGAAAGACCAAGTTTGGCCCCAGATGTGAAAAGTGGGCCTTTTAAGCCAAGTTATTAGGGAGATAAGGTGCAATTCCTCCCCACTGCTTTTGCCCTTTTTTTCACCATAAAGAGGCCTGCAAGCTGTAAATACTAAATCAAGATGACAGAGCCACTGGTAAGTGGCTGGGCTCATCACCATGGGACCTGTGGGTTTCTTTATCTGGACTAGGTACAGCCAATGCACCCAACAGGCTTTGCCAGCCCCAATTTCCTTCCACCCCCCAGTAGCTTTCAACACGTAGGGCACATCCTGAAATGGCCACAGCATAGTGGAACGGCAGCCTCCCCCCAGGAAACCCTGCGGGATGTGACCCTGTTTGTTTTGGATGAGTCCACAGAGGGGAGAATAAACAAACAAAGGGAAACGAGAGGCTGAAGCGTGAGTAAACTCTGCTTTGCGGGCTTTCCCACGTGCCGTCCCAGCAATCCAACAGGCTGTGCTGTCAAAGTGACCTTCAGGGCTTGGGTAAGGATGGGAGCTCCCCAGGGCCTGATGGGCTGCTTTTAACAAGGGATTTGGGAACCCCTGATAGCCAGAACCACGTGTGGGAAGCCACAAACATGCAGGTGGCTTGGCAGAAAGCTGAGGACCCACTCCTGAGCCAGGGGCAGCTCAGCCCCCCAGCCCAGGCTAGTATCTTACCCGTGCACAATGCGGAGTGCAGATCATAGAATCACAGAATAGTTTGGGTTGGAAAGGACCTTAAGATCATCTAGTTCCAACCCCCTGCCATGGGCAGGGACCCCTCACACTAAACCATGTCACCCAAGGCTCTGTCCAACCTGGCCTTGAACACCACGAGGGATGGAGCATATACCACTTCTTTGGGCAACCCATTCCAGTGCCTCACCACCCTCACAGTAAAGAACTTCTTCCTTATATCTAGATCCTGTAACTCCCCCCTAACTCTTCTCCTCCCTGTTCAGACTGTCCCCTTTAAGGCCAGGCAATACACAGCAGCCCTTATGTAATTAACATTGATTACAAGTGGGCCCAGTTAGGGCCACCATGGCAACCCAATGATTAGCTATACCTGCTCAGCAATGAGCTGAGTGCCAGCATTTCCCAGTTTGGGACTGGAAGCAACCCCAGGGTTGTGTCCAGTGCCCTGCTCACCTGTGAGATGTACCCCCGGGGCACATGGCCTTCTCCCTGGGATTTCGCTGCCTCCCGAAGGCTCTCATTCCGGGCCCAGCAGGATTCCAGCTGCGCCCGCAGTGACTGGATCTGTGCGCCAGGGAGGGGAGAAAGATGTTCAGCCATGGCCCAACCAACATGCTGCATCCGAACCCTCGCCTAAGGGATGGGGAGCACCATGCATGGCCAATGGAGAAGACTGCTTCCCACAGGAAGAACAGCCTGCTAAGGGACCAAACTGGGAAAGCCAGACCCAGAATGGTAAGCACTAACAGGGAGGAGACTTCCCAACTTCCAGAGGTGGATCTGTGCTGAAGGAAACCACCCCTACTCATGTAGCTGGGATGCCAGACAAGTGCATGTCTCCTTTCAAAGTGCTTGCAGGCTTGGGAACAGGCAGAGAAGAGAGGCTGTAGATGCACCCCCGGGAAAGACAGACTCCACACAAGCCGTGCCACCAACTAACTTCCTAGGCCAAAACATGGCCTGGGGAACCTCTACAGGCATGCAAGAGCAGGTCTCCAGTCCCACATTATCCGGTTGCAAAATCTCCTATGCACTTGCGGGGTGGCAAATGGAACCACAAAGAATAAACATCTCCCTGCACCTCTGCCTTGCCCTTCTGCAGAGCCTCCTGCTGCCAGAGACCACAACAAGAGGCCACAAGAATCCCAGTTGCAGAGAAGAGGGATGCTCTTACCTCCTTTTTCAGTGCCTCGTTGGTGTCTCCATGGTTCCCCTTGCTCTGGTTCAGCAGTGCTGTCAAGGGCACCCGCCGCGAGTCCTTCAAGGGCAGGCGTTCCAGCTCCAGCCACTTCTTCTCTATCTCCTCCTTCAGCCGGATTCTCTGGTCCTCCGAAAGTGGGGGAGTGGGGAGGTCCAGATCCCCCACCTTGCGGGAAGAGTCTCCCCCTGACCCATCGCTGTTTGGGACCCTGACATCAGGGGCCTCAAACCATTTCCGCCTCTCCTCCGAACGGACAGCCAGATCCCTCTCCAGCTCCTCGTGCTTCGGGGCTCGCTCAGAGACCCTCAAGCTCCCTCTCGTCCTCTGCGGGGAGCCCTGATTCCCAGGGTCCTGCGGCAAGGGGGACAGCTCCACATAGTCAAAGGAATGGCGCTGCCCATCCGCCTTCCAGGGGCTGCCCTTTGAGTTCCCCTCGGAGCTAGAGCCCAGTCGCTGCTGCTCCTCCGTCCGGAGCGAGCCCTTCTGGGGGACACAGTTACGGAAGTTTTCCTTATCGCAGTCAGAGAGCCTGAAACCAGAGCGGCAGCCAGTGAAGGACAGGTACCACATGGGAAAGGATGCCGGTGGAGATCCTGCCAAACCCCCACCCAAACCCAGGGCACGGAGTTGGCCCTGCAGCATCCCATCCCTCAGGGAAATGGCAAAGGTGGGTGCAACAGCAGGAGCCATCAGGCTGATGTATCCAGGCCACATTCAGTGGACAGCAGGGCTGATCTGAAAGTGGCCGGGTTTCCAAAGGGACCTTCCTAGTCCCTGCCTGCCAGGAGAGAGGGGCAGCAAGAGGGGGGAGAGAAGCAGCATGGGGCAGCTCTTACTTGGTGATGTCTGGAGCACTGACTGGGCGCACATTCTTCCTCAGGGCCTCGATCCAGTTGCGCCGGATGCCTGAGGTCATTGCCGATAGGGTGAAGACAGCATCCTTCGTCTGCAAAAGGGAGGTGATGGAGGCCCTGTCAGCAGGCAGCTCTCACAGATGGTGGACTGCGTTAGAGAGGCCACTCAAGTCTGTAAGGGTCAGGTGGAGGGGTACAGCAGCAGGCCACAGGAAAATGCCCAGCCCTGCACACCCACAGAAGTATCATTTTTGTGCCGCCTTAGCAGCCACCTCCTGCTGCTACAGCAAGTAGCCAAGGACACGACTGTCCTGAGGCTGGATCCTGAGTACAGGTTGTTACTCTGAGTACGGTCAGGGAGCTACTCCGAGATCTGCAGTGCTCACCACTCCCTCCCCACGGCTCCGCAGAAGCTGCCTTGGCCAATGGGTCAAGTAAACAACACAGGGCGTTAAGTCTGGCTCCCGGGTCACCTCCAGGGGAGCCTTTGGCCAGCCCTGCAGAAGTCACCGCCTCTTTCTCCTCCTCCCTTTGCAGGCAGGCAGCACTCGAGTCTCTGAGCACTGTCACCCACATTGCCAGGGTCCTGTCCTGGCAAAAGGTTTGCACGGTTTGCCTCTGGGCACAGGGAGGGAGCGCGCATTCCCACCCAGTGTCCCTTGGTGCCACTGCATCCGCACAGTGCCAGGCACTCACGTGTATCTGGAAGCCATAGTTGCGCTGCACCGCAAACTCTGTCACGTCCGTGCAGGAGCGGAGGTCGATTTCTCCATCGAGGTCATCAGCCTGCAAGCACAGCCGCCGGCTGGGACATCAGTGCAAACCCAGCTTGGAAAACCCCATCACCTGCTGGCACCCTCTGCCTTCACCCCACACCTCCCTGAGAGATAGACTCAGCTCCCCACATACCGAGGGGCAGCTGCAGCTCTGATGGACAGCATCAGAGATGCTCAGCCACAGGACCAGCCCTTCTCACCTCCCACCACTGACAGCCCCCTGGCTTCACCAGCCGCCTTCAAATACCCATCCTCTTTGTCACCCTTTGGCAAAGAGCAGCTTGCCACCTCTGGTACCTTTCAGGGTGACATAACATTGCTGCTTCTCCAGGGCTGTGGTCCTGTCCCCACTGGTTGGGAAGGAAGAGAGGGCTGGGGAAAGGCTGGCTGTGCTTACCTCCTCCGCATTCGAGTCCCGGTAATACCTCAGGCTCGAGTCGGTCAGCACGAACCAATGTTTCTTCCACTGCAGGCAGATTGGGCAGGAGAAGGGAAGGGAAAAGACAGGAGGGAAACGGATAGGCAGTTATCAGGGGAAATGTAGGAACAGGGAGGGGCATTTTGTGCTGTGACCTCTCAGCCTTCTCTTCCCCCTCCTCCATGTTCCTTCCAGCTCCCCCTTGTGCCCCTCAGCTGGGAGATGGGCACCCTGTGAACCTCTGTGCCAGAGCAAAGCACTCCCACCAAAGGCTTCCTGCTGCCCTTCCCAGCAGGAGCAACCTCAGTGAGTGAAGGGGGAAGGAAATCAGCTGCTCACTGGGGAATCTCTACCAGCAGAGGCTGGGAGAAGAGGCAGACTTTTGCCTTGGGCTTACCTCTCCTGGCTCATCCAGGATGGACATCCATCCCTTCTTGAAATTGAGGAGATCCGGCTGGAGAGGAAACACAAAAACACAGGGTTACTGTCTTGGACTGACCCACAAAAAGGCATTTCATGCCAGGGGGTGGAAGGCAAGTCCCCAGTGGCAGAACAACTGCGGGAATAGCCTGGCATCACTTTTAGAAAACTCATGGGGGTGTAGGGCCCAGCAGTGAAGGAGAGCTGGGTTTAGCTCTCAGCAGCAGGCAGTCATTCCCATAAGAGGAAGCAGGAGATAAGGAAAGAGGTTTAAAAAAAATTAAAGGAAAATATGCAGCAGGGAGGTTTCCACAAGGTGCCACAGAGGTATTTGTTCAGAGAGGGGGAGGCAGGGACAAGGAGAGTCAGCAGGAGGGAGTGCTCCACCTCCAGCAATGGGGTTTGCTGTGGAGATGGAGGCAAAGAACCAGCCACACTTTGTCCAAACCCTGACCATCCATGCCCCAGAGCCACGTCCCTCCGGTAACTTCACCACCAATTGTCTATTATAAAGACACAAGTAGCTCTCTACAGAACAACTCTCACCACAAATGTACAGGACGCAATTCAACAGCTGTGAAAACATGTTCCCTTTAAACGATGTGCCCCAGGGTAGAGATGAAATCAGAGTCACAGCCAGCACCTGATCCTCTCCAAGGTGCTGGGGGCTCCTCTCTTATCCAGCTCGCTCTTCTCCCTCCCACTGCATAGCCTGCCCTCTGCCACAGCTACTCAAGACAGAGTATCACGCAGATCATCCCGTGCTAGAAAGAAGCTTCCCCCCCTTCCCTGCCTCCTCCTAACCTCACACCACTGGTGCGGCATCCCAACCAGTTTATCTCCTTCCCAAGGTGGAGCACCAGAGAGCTGACTCAGCGGAACTGCTCTCCCTGGCTTTGCCCTCAGCCAAACAGGCTCGAGCCGGTCCCTCCTCCCAACCCTACTGGCTCGGGAGAAGTTGCACCACCAAATAATTCAGCCCAATGCCTCTCCTCCCTGAGACGCCAGAGTCTGCAGATCTGCCCCTTCTTCTGCAGCCAGACAAGGCAGGGACAGTGCCAGAGCTGGACTCCCAACCCTCTGCATCAGACCTGCCAGCCCTGGGGAAGCCATCAACCACTGCCCGAGACCGAGCTGAGAAGAAGGGGTGGGTTGGGAAGCTGATGGCCACTCCACTGCCCCCAGAGGAGCCCAGTGGCCAGCCGCGGCTGCCCACATGCCCACCTCCCTGCTCCCCTGCTTTCATCTCCCTTGGGTTACACCCAAGGCTATGGGGAAGCAAGAGCTGAGTACACACTGGTCCACTCCAGTGCTCCAACTATTGGTTCTAGCAAACATGGACAGGTCCACCAAGGGGAGGGTCAGCGGCTGCTACAGCTTCAGGCCTGGCCACAAGTGTCCGACTGCAGCCCTAAGAGCTTGGGAAGGGAGGAAAACCGGAGCAAAAGGGCACAGGGAGCTCTCACACCTCACCTCCCAACGAGGCGACAGGCACTGCTGGTGGCTCGGTGACGAGGGGGATGTGTGCATCCCTATCCTCATGGACCCGGACGTCCCGCTGGCCCTGCTGCTGCCTCCCTGAAGAAGCACTCCGAAACTTAATTCTTTCTCCGTGGCAGCAGCAGCTCCACCCTTTTTCCCGTTATTCCTTCCAATCCAGTGACTTCAGCTCCGGCTCCAAACTGGGAGCGGCGGGAGGGGAGGGAAGGGAAGGAAAGGAGGCGAAACGTCAAAGCGCAGCCTCCCCCCATCTCCTGGGACACACATGCGCTGGGCAGGAGAGAGGCAGGCAGGCTCTCTGAAGGTGGAATAACAATATAAGGAGAGAGGGGGTGAAAGGAGCCCTGCCTGGGGCTGTTGTATGGATCAGCTGGGTCGCGTCTTACTGAGGATTTACAATCCCAAAGCATTAGGTGCCAAAATAATGACTATTACAGGGATATACGTTGATGGGAAAACCACCACGAAGTCCTCATAGAACTCCTGCCCCTGATGCAGTGCTGGGGGCAAAAAATCCATCCCCTCCTCCCCCCCAGAAGGCTTCTCCCAAGTGGGCAAGTTGCACAGGACTCCTGTTTTCCCTGCCACCCTCAGACACGGAGCCACAGCTCTGGAATTGGCTTTGAACTATTCTTGTCATAGCAGGGCTGGTATGAGACATCAGCTGATGCCCAAGATGCCACTTTTCTCTCCCTCTTCACAACCAAATCCAGCTTCTTCTCTGTCATAAAGAGCTCTAAGTATCAGCAGAAAAGACAGCAGGGTTCAAACTGAACCAGAGGAAATGGCCTGGCAGTGGGAGGAGGAAATGTTCAGGAAAGCCGAACCACTGGGAGAGATCCGGAGATGCAAGGATGCGGCAGGATGCACCCCCGGCAAAATGCATGGCCCTGTAGTGGAGCTCGGGGCTGTGGATGGTGAGGCTTCACCCTGGGAGGTGGCACAGCAATTTTACCTAGTTGCACCCATTCCCACCAGAGTTACATGTACATTCAGCCCTGCAGATAGCCAGGTAGAGGCACCGGAGGGGGTGCCAAGCAGCCGGGACATAGGTGACGTCTGGAAGGACTGGCTTACAACAGCAGGTTAAGGAGAGGCAGCTGCCTGCTTTTGGTGAAGAAGGGCTACAGAGGAGGTGATAACAGGCTGCAAGTATCTCAAGAATGTAAACACCAAAGAAGGAAAGGGGATGGGAGCAAAAGAATGACTCCTGGGTGGTACAGAGGCGCCAGGATGGAGAAGTGGAGGAGAGGCTGTGGCAGGCTTAAAAAGCTCTGCGTCCAAGGGGACTGATGGGATGGTCACTATAACCACCGCTGTGCCTCCTGCTCTTCACACACCCAAAGGCTCCTCAGGACCTCGGGTCCTGGAGCACCACTTCCTCTCACATCTAAGAGAATGTGCAAAGGGCTCTCATCCTTCCAGCAAACACAATGTCTCCTCTCCTCCAAAAAGGGAACCTGCTCCACAAGACACAGGCCCCAGGCCAAGAACACAAATCGAAACTGCTCAGCTCAGTTTAGTGGGAGCAGAACCGCCCCCCGTCTGGAGCACACATGCAGCTCTATGTGTACTCCAAAAGCAAACGGGCAACAGGCTCTTCTATTCCCACCCCTCCTATACAAAACGCCAGCGGGCAGGGCCCGGCCTGTCACCTCCTTGACCCTGCTCAACAGCCTTCCTCCCGGGGTGGAAGACATCCCCATGGCGGAAGGCTCGCCCCAGGGGACAGACGCTACCTGCCCCAAAACCACGTCTGGTTGCCACAGGGAGCAGGAGCTCCCCGTGCTGGGGGGGGGGGGGGGGGGCGCGGATTTCACACCCCACCCCACTGCAGTCATCAGTGCGGTGAGCTCGGCAGGCCTCAGCCCAGCCCACTGCTTACACGCAATGTTACCCATGTCCGGCCGCTAACGAAGCCACTCTACCGAGTGGAGACCTGCATGGGGCAGGCGAGGAGGCACCGAGCCTCGGCCACAGCTTCGAGTGCCGCGGGGGAGCAGGGGTGCCCGGGAAGCGGCGGCTGACAGCCCCTTCCCACCCGAGGGGCAGGACAGCGGCCGGGTAGATGAAACAGATGAAACTCCCCCCCCTCGACCCCCGAGGACAGGTCCCGACTCACCGTCATGGCGGGGGCTCCGCGGCCGGCGGCGGGGCCGGGGTCGCGGCGGGGCCGAGCGCTGGCAGCCAGGGCGGCGGGGCGGCTTCAGCGGCCGGGCGGCTTCCACGGCCCCACCATGCCCGCTCCGCCGCCCGCCTTCCCCCCGCCCCCCTCCCCTCCTGTTTTACTTAAAAAAAAAAAAAAAAAAAAGAAAGAAAAGGAAGAAAGAAAAAAAAAAAAAAAAAGAACAACCCCCAAAACTTTTCTTTCCTCCCCCCAAACTTCCTGGGAGGGCCCGGGCAGGCCAATGGCAACTGCCGCCGCCGCCCCGGCCGCCCGCAGCCAATGGAGCCGTCGGGGCGGGCGAGGCCGCCGGGGCGCACGGAAAGGGGGAGCGGCTCCGGGACGGGACGGGACAGAATGGGACGGGGTAGGTGGTGGGGCTGAGCCGCGTCCCTCTCCCGCCCCGCCGGCAAGGAGCCCAGGGCTGAGCCGCTGCTGCCCCAGGAAGGGACGGCCGGGAGCCCGGCCCTTCTTCAGGCAGGGATTTCTTTCAGGCAGGGATTTACTTCTTGTTTTCCAGACAGGGATTTCTATCAGTCCCGTCGTGTGTGTGCACACAGCAGGGTCCTCACCTTTGCTCCTGAAGCTGCTCGGTTTCACCTCCCACCCAAGAACCCCTAAAGCAGCGATTTGCAATCTTGGCAGAGGTGGCAACAAGTCCGTGGGGGCCTTTGGTGCTCCCCAAAGCACATCTATGGTTGCCATCAGGCTGGGGAATTGTGAGAGAGGGTCCCAAAGGAAAAGGGGCAGGGGGCTGTGCATAACAAAATGACAGGTTCTACACCGAGTTGACACTTCTTGCCACAAGGCAAGCAAAGGTGCCCAGGCCAGAGCTCACTGCTGAAGAAACCTGGAATAGCTGGGATGAACCCGCTCCAGTTGTGCACAGGGAGCTCAGGGCTTGGGCTCCTCTCTGCCCTGGGACAGCAAAGTGAGGGAAGGGATGTCACCCGTTTCGAGTTTCAGAGACCTTTGGCAGCCTCCTGCCTGGCTGCAGCTTGTCCTTGTGTAAAGCACAAAGCCTAGCAGGGGACATCTCCGCCAAGACGACTGACGCACATGGAGGGTGACAGAGGCAAAGAGACTCCGGCATGGCCGGCAGCTACAAGGGCTGCCAGCACTCTTTCTGCAGACCTCCAAAGCAGCTCTCGTGCCTTTTTTGGTATCTCAGCAATCCAACACAATTGACCATATCTTCTTTCATGCCACTAAAGCCTGCTTCATCCCTATGAAACCCTCAGTGCCATCATAACACCAGGCAGTAGTAAAGGGAGGAAGGCAGCTACTCTGAGGTTTTAGTCCCACCTCTACTGCTTGCCCCTCTCTGGCTTTAAAAGAAAAAGGCTCTGTGCCCCTGTTTTTCCCCACTTGAGAACTGGGCAAAGGACAAAGAGAAGGAGGGTACTAGCGATGCTGATACCCAAGAGGTCACTGGAAGGCAGCACCACGCTAAGCCTGCTCAGATCAAGTGCTAGAGACCCAGATGCTGCCAGCAGTTACCTCCATTCCCAGGTCCCAGCCCCTACCTTGTTGCGCTTCTCACTGTCATTTGAACGTGGCTGCAGGCTTCCCGAGGATCTGGTGCTGCTTTGTGGTGGGAAGGCATCTCCACACAGCTGGGGCTGCAGGGAAAGAAAGCAGGAGCTGAAGCCATGGGGGTTAGTCCTTGCCTCGGTTTCCCAGATCTGAGCAGCCACCTCCCAGCGTGGGCCAGGGTGGGAAGCATCCTCCCTTTTCCCAGTGCCAGGCAGGCAGCTTGGCTCCCCTAGAGTAGCAGAAGATCCACAGAAGTTGGGATGCGCAGAACTGCAACCCAAGGGACCCACCCGCTCTGTGCTTGCCAGTTTCATTCCTGCCAGGGTCCCCAGCACCTTGGCTCCTGCCCTACTCACGTGGTACATGAGAAGCCTCTTGTTCACCCAGTCGCTTTCCAATGGCTTCTCTGGGTTGTTTGTGTTTCGGGTGTGCTCAGGGCCTTTCCAGTCATCCTCCAGCTGCTGCTCTGGACTCTCAGGCCTTTTCCAGCTGTCATCTGGCTGCAGTCTTACACTGGGACCTTTAGTGGGGCTTTTCCAGTCCCTTTCCAGCTGGCGCATCAAGTCCGCATGGCACACAGGCTTCTCTTGGCGCTTCCAGTCCCTCTGCCATGCCTGCGCTTGGTGGGCCTCCCCCCGACCCCTCCAGTCCTGCTCCAGTGCTCGTGTTGGGCTCACAGGGCGCGAGGGCTTGCCTTGGCCTTTCCAGTCAGTGCTCGTGCCCTTCCCAGGGTGGGAGGCTGGCAGCTTTTCCCGGAGGCTCTGCCAGCCACATTCTGATGGCTTCCCAGGCGCCCGGAGCTGGAGCAGTTCCCCTGGCCTCCCCCGTTGCCTCTCTGCTACCCGCACTGGAGGGGCAATCTCCTTTTGGCTTCTCCATGTGCTCTCTGTATGTCTCCCAGGACTGAGAGACCGTGGTGGTGGTGCTGCCCGGCTCAGCCTGCTGTTATCCAAGCCTTTCCCAAGGCCCACAGGGTGCAGCGAGTCCCCTCTGCTCTTCCTCTCTGGTGCTTGCCCTGTACTCCCCCCAAGCCAGGCAGCTCGGCCCCTTTCTGAGCTGGGGGCATGTACAGGCTCCTCTCGGCTCCTCCAGCTCTTCTCTGAGCACCAGGGAGGGCTCACAGGCGCTCGGAGCCGGGTTTGTGGAGCGCTTGTGGGACTCACGGACCTTTGTGCCGGGCTTACGGAGCGTGGGCTCCGGTTGCCTCTGTCCAACAGCCAGCTGGCGCTGGCAGGGTGCGGGCGGTCCCCCCGGCTCCTGCTGGCCTTCTCCGGGTGCCGAGCTGGGCTGGGGGAGCGCAGGGGCTCCTTGGGGTCTCTGCTGCGCTGCTCAAGGTGCCATGAGACCCGCTGACCCTAAGGAACAAGACAGGATTAGGGCTAGGAGATGGTTTGGTTAAATAGTTCCTTAGACAGCAACTGCATCTCTATGCATGGAGGCAGCCTGTACTGAAGAGAAGCATCTAGCACTCAAAGGGTGAAAGGGCTGCTGCCATTTAAGAGCCAGGAGTCTCAATCCATGGCAGAGGGAGGGCTGGGAATAGAGGGGAGAGCAGGGAAATGGGAGAGAGAAGCAGAATGTGGCAGAAGGAGAGGAGAATGTGGCAGGGAAAAGCAGGAGTTGGGATGGGGTCCCACCACACAGCCAAGACTCACCTCCCTGGGCAGGCTGGGGCTGGACTGCCTCCGAGCTAGGCGGCCTTTGCTGGGTGGCACGGGGGTCTTGCCATCGAGCCGGTCCACACGGCCCTCCTCCAGGGCCTGGAAAGCCTCCAGGGTCTCTGATTTCCTGTGAGCATGCAGTTTATCCAGCCACTGCCAGGCTCAGCTCAGAGGCACAGCCCCTGCTCCACGTAAGCCTTACCCCACAGACCTTCACCTGCCCCAGAGCCTCTCCCTGTCCCCATCGCTTCAACCGTCCCAGCTTTCATGTCCTGCTGCCTCACCCATGTCTTCTTCACACTATTCCTTAAGCTTCCCTCCATCTAGCCAAGGATACTTTCCCGGTCCCCATTTACATCCCCTTCCACCCTGTGCCACCAATGATGGAGCCACTCTCACTTCTACAGTCAAGACTCAACAATCACTGAGTACCACTTAGCATCCCCTGTCCTTCACTGAACAGCTCCTACAGTGGACCCTGGATCCCTGGGGAGCCAACTGATGCTGGGAATGGGGACCACCTCTTTCCTTCACCCTATTCATGGCTTGCAGTACATCCTGCAGCTTCCAGGAGCTGGATGTGAGGAGGAGGAGGGTGGGCTGTGCAACTTTGCTCCACCTTTCCTATGGATTCAGTTGCAATTAGGTGTGCTGCAACTGGGGAGCTCCTCAGGTTGGGAGGCACTGAGCCTAAACCCAACCTTTGCTTTAAGGGAAATTCAAGCACAGCTGAAAGCTGAGCTCTGCCATCTACCCCTGCTCTCTACCTGAGACGCAGCAACTCAGAGGTGGGGCACCCCGACAGCATAGGAAAGGGGCCCCACTGTGGAGTCCCATTGCTTCTCACCTGCGTTCGCAGCCAAACATCCTCTCCACCTCCACCCGGCCAGGGCTGAGCATGCGGGAGCCACAGCGGTCGACAGCATCCCGCTGGCTGAGGCGCTTGGGCAGGCTGGCCAGCACCGTGTACTCCTGCCTGTCCAGCCCGTGCCGCCCCTCCGTGCCCCTGCTGCCAGGCTGCCCGCGGGGCTCCCGCACCTGGGAGCAAGCAAGGTGCCCACTGCCACCCAATGGGTCACTGCGGGAGGAGCCGGTGGTAGCACATGGAGGGGTGGATGGCCACGGAGGGTCGGCTTTCCGGTGCTTCGGCCAGCTCTCCTCGGGCTTCTGGCTGGTGGGACGGCACTCTGGGACGGGGAGAAGGCCGTTACTGGGGGAGGCACGAGCGACGCGGGGTGCCACCACGTCCACGGCAAAGCAGGTCTTCGGAGGAGAGCTAGAAATGGTCCAGGAGGGCAGAGATAGAACCCAGACTCCCTCCAGGAAGGGTGGGAGTGCTGGGGCACAGCACTGCAAGCTGAGGGCACACCAAATCATGCAGACAGAGAGCACTAGGGAGACCCATGGTTCATGGTCATAGGTGGCATCTCATGGACTCTGGGCCTCATCCCTTTACATGGTACCCATGGAAGTGTTGAACCTCCTGGGACCAGAACTAGTAAAGAGCTGCTAAATCTAAGAGATCTGCTGTGAACTTCAGAGACCTCCAGGTGGAAAGCAAACCAGAAGTAGGGTCTCACACAGGAGCAAACCAAGTGTACCTGCTTTCAGAGGGCAGATTTCTTTCCTAAAGTCCTGCGCCTCGGTTCTCACCCAGGATCCAGAGGGAATGGGCTGAGCCCACCTGGGTCTGTCTGCCTGCAGGGCTCGCGATCGCACCTCCTCCTTATGGCCCACGTAGCTCATCATGTCCCGTTTGCCTGATCCCATAGTGTTGTCCCACAACCAGGTCATTTCCCCGTCCTGGGAGACAAGATAGGGCAGATCTCTGCTATGGGGACTAGTAGCTTTTGGGGGCTGGAAGGAGGTGAGAGCATATATGAGAAGTTACGGCTCATTCAGCTCAAAGCTGCTGGTAAAAAGGAACCAGGAGAGGAGCTGGGTGAGCATAAGGTGACCCCAGCTCAACATCAATGGGTGTGCCAAGAAACAACATAGGGAAGTCTGCTTGGGGGAATCTAAGAGCAACTCTCATGCTCTTTAGGGGAAGACTGATCCCCCCTTGCATCTCGGGACCTTCTGAATGCGCCTCACAGAAGAGGCATTGAAGGGCTGAGGAGACTGAAGAGACCAAAATAACCCACACCATGAGAGATCCCCATCTCACCCTGGCAAGCGTGGAGTTGGCTTGGGAGCAGGCGCTGGGGTCAGTGCTGGTTTCTCTGTGCTCACCCTCAGCTCCAGGGCTGAGCGGGGGATATCCCCTGCTCTCGTGCCAGCTGTGGGGCAGGGAGAGAGGTCAGCTGGTAGTCAGCACAGCTCAGGGATGGGTGGCAGTGCCAACAGCCCAAGCCACACTGTCTCTGTCTCTGCTGAATGGGCAGACACTAGCAGAGCCCATCCTGGCACCACCAGCCTTGCTCTAGAGGCAGTGAGGAGGAAGGAGACTCTTTCAGTGGCCTCCTGACCTCTCCTGGGAGAGTTAGAGGGTATGGTGGGGGTTGCTCAGCCATTGTTCCCAGGCACGGGTGTGCAGAGTGTCAGGGAGAAGGCATCTGATTTCCTTTGCTTGGCTTCCCACTCCCCGTTCTCCGTTCTTCCCACTGAGGGAGCTCCCCGCTGGTACTCACCGCTCTGTCCCCTCCACAGGGCTCACGCACACATATACCTCGCACTGCGGGGCTAAGATATGGAGAGCATCCCAGGCCCCGCCTGGGTCCGCGTTGCTGCTGGCATTGTGTCCTGCCACTTCCACACCACGCTCCTGTGAGGAAGAAGGGGGTGCAATGGTGCCATCAGCGTGTTGAGGATGAGAAGGAAAGCTGCCCTTTGGAAAAGGCTGCTTCTTCCACCTCCTCCAAGAGCAGCCTGGTCTCTGCGGCTCTTGGTGCCTCTCCCAGCCCTCCGCTGAGGTTTTTCTCCTGCTTCAGGTGGCCCAGCACACTCCTATTTGATGCTGAATGCTCCAGGTGTCCCAGAGACAGCGCATGTGAATGAGGGCTCAGTGAAACATCTCCCTGCTGCCAGTGCTGATGCTGCTGACAGCTACTCTTCCTCCCCACCCAGATCGCCCGGGAAGAGGCGACGGAGCAAAGAGGGAGGGAGGTTTTGCAGTGAAGGCTGTAGCCCCAGCCTCTCTCTGCGCTTGTGGGTATCTCAGCATTCTCCCCAGCCCTGTTACCTGCAGGGCTTATGAGCAGCAGTGGGGGATGCTCCAAGGAGCCGGCTGTCTGTGCTGCCTTCCCTCCAGCATCTCACCCCCGCACTGGGATTCGCTCAGAGGCGACAGCTCTGAGCAGATCACGGGCAAAGGGCTGAGGTAACCTTAGAGGGGCCAGGGCCAGGGGGAGAGAAGGAGAGGGCAAGAAAGAGAGAGGAAAGCTCATTACTATTTCATCATCCCAGGCCAGTTGCTCCTGGAGGGCAGCGAACAACACGAAACCCTTCCTGAACATGAAACCGGCTGTTGCTCGGTCAGAAGCAGCCAAGTGGCTTGTGCAGCCAGCCCTGTGTCACAGCACCATGTTGGATCAAGGTACCCAGAGCCCAAAGACTCATGTCATTTACCCCCCTCCTGCCTTACCCTCCAGGAACAGCTCACTCCATCTGCTCCAGGGTCTCAGCCCTGGCCCTAAATTGACAGCCAGGGCCACAGGGACATCCACCAGGACCATATTCCAGGTGAGGTAAGCCATAAATACCAGCAGGCATCAAGCAGAGATTAATCCAGGATGGGTCCCAACTCTGCCAATGCCCCCTTCCCCCTTGTAGCTTTGCCATCTGCAACACCCCTGCTTTCCCTTCCAGCATCTATCACATCCAGTGCCCAGCCTTTTCCTGCTAAGGTGGCTCCCAGCTCTGGCCTGGGCAGGGATTCCCATACCTGGGAGGTGTGTGGAATCCCAACCTAGAACAAAAGGTTCCTTAATGAAGTATTCATAGCCTCCACGTGGGATGGAGGAGCTCACCTGGACAGAGTGTTGGTGAGCCCCTGCAGCTTGGAAACAGTACTGGCACAGGCTCTTTGCAAATGTGTTGGCTTCAAAGTTCATGCAAGGCACATCATTGATTGAACCAGACATCGTCCATAGCAAGGGTGAAGATCTTTGGCTGCTGGGCTGCTGGCAGGCTGCAGCCAGGAGGCAAAGGAGGAAGGAACAGCGGCAGAAGACCAGAGTTTAGGGTCCCCCAGCCTTTAGCTCCTGTGAAAGCAGGAATGTTATTCCCAGACTGAAGTTTGCTGCTCTCAGCTGGCAATACTGTAATTGAAGGGCACCCAGGTGCAAAATGATCAGTATGATCCATATAATTATAGATAATAAAATTGTATGCTCCAGCAGGGACCTCTTTTAAAAGGGGGCAATGCACTGCACCCTCAAGTGACTGCTGACACCTACATTTTGGGAGTCCCTGTGAACAGAGGAAATGATGCTAATGTCCTGCTATTTTTTTTGATGGAAGCTTTCTTCCTTCAAGCTCTCTTAAGAGGCACAAAAAGGAAAAAAAAAATCCTTATAGCTATAGGGATAGCTATAAGACGCTTAGGAAATTTGGAAACCCATGAGACTCTTCCTAAACTTGCTGATCTCACTAAAATTTCTGAGACCTGTAGGACAGTCAATTGCAAAGCTGTGAAGGGCAACAAGCACAACAGCTGGGCTCCACACTTCTGTCTTGGCTTTTCACATGCACCCTGCCCACCGTCACCTCCTCCGTCCCACAGAGCAAATCCTTGGATTTGAGGATGTGATCTCTGCTGGGAGGGCTCTGTTTAATTTGTCCAGAGGATCCAGCAACAGGACAGGAAGTCAGTGTGGGATGAGTCCAGCATCCCTGATGTGAGCATGCCGCTGCTCCTCTAAACAAGAACTCTCGAGTCAGAGCAGCTGGTCGAGTTTATGAGTGATCCCAAAAACAACTAGGGCCAACTGTCGATGCCAAAACCAAGCTATATTTTTTTTTGTTTTCAGTGCACTCATTTGAGGTACAACAACTGATACTACTGCCAACCTTGCAGACTCTCTCCTCATATGGGGGCATGTATCTTGACTCCTTCACACAAAATACTGGACAGGAGCATAAGCCCTCACCTGCCAGGGATGCAGTACAAAACACCCCAACACTGCTGCCCACCCCTGCCCATGAACCTCTAGTTGGAGCCCATAGCACCCCATTGCCTGATGGGCAAATCTTTGCTCCCCCCATCCTTTGGGGTCTACTGCCAGGGTAATACTGTGATCCCCAGGGTCTCTGGCACGCATGCATGGAGCCAGTCATGCTGAATGCTCCCAGTGCCTCCCAATGCCCCCAGTACCTCAGCTTCCCTATGGCTCCCAGCACCTCGCCGCCCGCCGAGCTCCCCCCTCAATGAAGTTCGCCGTGGGAACGCTGGGGGGCGAGACCCCACCCCTTCCCCTGTCATTGGCTGCCACCGGGCAGTGATTTGAATATCTCCCTCTGAGTGGCTGGCGAGGCGCGGGTTTGTGGCGCCCACGGGCGCGGGTACCCACGTGTCGGTGGCAGCAGGCGGGCGATCGACCCGGCCGACCCCGGGGCTGCTAGAGGCACCCGGCTGCGGTTCATCCCCCCGCCTTGCGCCCTAGGCCTCTTCCTGCCCTTCCCCACGGCTGCATCTCCCCCGGGACCACCCCACTGCCTGCCAAGGTCTGCCCCAGCGCTCCCCCAGAGCATCATTCCAGGGCCTGGTTAACCTGAACCCTAAACTGATGTTAAAGCAGTGGAATCATCTGTAAGCACCGAGACAGCCAAACGTCACCGTGTCCCCCAGCCCAGCTCCATCAGGAGGTCATTCCTACCCACAGCACTCCCCAGAGAGGTTTGTCTTACCTGGCCCTTGCTTGCCCAGCACAAGTCCTGCCTGAGCCTTGCTATTTCTAGTGGAACATGTAAGCATGTTAAGATGTTAAGACATCTGTCCTCCATTGCTCCTGTTACAATCCAACCTCCTCTTCACAGTCCTGGTGAATATTAAAAAAAAACCCAGAAGCTTAATTTCACTTTTTGTTTACCCCTTAAAAGCAGTTTTCAATCCACTCCTCAAACCTGTCTTTCCCAGACACCCTCAGTTATTCAGCTCTATTAGAACATAAAAGTCCTTGTCACTCTCCCAGCAACTTCTTCCCCAGTTCATTTCTGGAAAACAATGCTGGAAGCAGCAGCGGGACTGTACTAGGTACAGCCTTGGGCTTGACATGCTTCTGAAGAGCAATAAACACAGTGCACTGATTATCACACAGCTCATGCACACCCTGTTTTTCCCCAGCTGTCTGACCTCTTTGGCTCCCTGTCTGGTTTTGATGCTCTGTAATCCCAATTACATTTTTGTGCGTGCATGTGTGCAGAATCATAGTCTAGTCAGTGAAAGCCATCATGCATGGAAACCCCAGCATGGCAGCCCATGTCAAAGCCTTGCCTCCCTCTGTGTGAGCCCTCGGGCACAAGCACGAGTAACACGCAGGTGCCAGAGCTGCAGAGCCAAGCGTGAAAAACCTGTGCCGAGGCTGCGGAAGGGGGAACACGCAGGGAGCTGCTGGGCTCTGCTCTTCATTTTCTCAGCAGCGGCTGCACCAGCACGTTCATTTTTGCAGGTACTTTATATTCAGAAGCTCCTTAACAGCTAGAACTTGTTTGTGAGCAGCTGGGCAAAAATGCTCAAATTCATCTTGAAAACAAGGGGAAGCAGCAAACAAGAAGAATTTTCAGTCACAGCCTGGGATGAACTGTGATGTGTCTGGCAAACAACACATTAACTTGGTGTGGAGCTCATATTCTTGATCCAATTTATCCTGGGGTGGCCTGTCTGCACACCCTGCACATAAGGAAGACAACAAGCTGGGGCTGAGTCAGTAATTTACATCACCAAATAAAGCTTTAATCGATCAAATGGAGAAATCAATACTGCAGTGAACAATCCTGATGGTTAACTTGGCCTAGGATGTAACAGTTCTGTTCTCAGTTTTTCCATATGCCTTGGTTTCTTAATGTGAAAACCTAACAGCAGGAACTGGAAGCTTTCAGAAGATGGAAGAGGCTGCTGGTGATTAGAGGGGACACCTGACACTTGAGAAAGGCTCAGACGTTATTAGGGCCAGGAATACAGCAACCTAAAAGAAAGATTCTTGTAAATCACCTGGCATCCAAATGACACTGAAGTGCTGTTGATGTCCCTCTTATCACCCCATCAGGACTACAATGAGGCAATCTAGTGTTGTCCTTATGTGCCAGGCTGCCTACAGGCTGTGGAAGGCAAGTAATCCACAGTTCCCACCACACTTCCAGAGATGTCACAAACACACAGACTGTACATTTCCTTTACAATGGCCATCCCAGCTCCAGAGCAAACTCTTGGGGTGGGGAAGCAAAAGTCACCTGCCCACATTTATTCCAGAAGGCAGAATGTCTGAAGGGAAAGGTGCTGTATGACCCATACAAAGGATGTCACACAATGTCCTCCAGCTTTGAGCTACAGTCCCTTTGGCACACCATTCTAAGCAGAATTTCCCTCTCCTTCCCTCCTACACCCCTCTCAAACCCAACAACCACACAATAGCTCTAGAGCATATTAACTACCAAACCACAAGGAGAAATGCTTTTATGATCCTCTTGGACACTTTGGATGAAATCCAGCCGAGCATCAGACTTTTGGCCTTGCCTTGGAGTTGTTTTCACAGCTCTGAAACAGCCAACACCTCAAGGCAAGACAGGAAGGCCGGGTAACACAGCTCATGGGCTTAATGTGCATTCTGGAGCAGCCTTTAAGGCAATGTACCAAAACTATTTTGGAGGCGAGGGGACCACATACACTGCATTTTCATGATGTGACTGAGGTTATTCCACATTAGCGCTTAAGAACTCAGCTCAGTATAGGACTCAAGAGTCCAAGCACGCAAGGCACATGGGATAAAACAGTATCCACTTTCCCACCATTCACCTCCAGAAGGGAGGTACAAAGGGACCCCCTGCTTCACATGCATGCCACCCAGTTCCCTCCAGAGGAAGATGCTCCAGCAGAAATTGTGTGGCTGCTGTCAGCGTTGAGATTGTACCCTTCTCAACACTCAGTGTGCACATGGTCCAAGAAACGTTGGAGAGATCCACCAGGCTGCAGTTAGCTTTAGTGGCTGGTGGCCATCAGCATTGCTCTGATGTTTCTCCATGAAGCCTCAAGCACTGGTTTGCTCTTTCCCCTCCCACTTCTGGCATGAGGAACATATGTACTCTCCCATTGCTGGGTTGCCAGTTTTCTGGTGGGGGTTTTGGCCACACAAGCCTTTTCTTCCTTTGTCATTTCCTTGCCAGTACACATGTGGCATGGGCGGAGGCTGACAGGGGCAGAATGGCCACCATCTCCTACAGATACTCCAGAATAGAGGCCAGCATGCTGCCTAGGCTTGCTCTTCTCCTCAGAGGATTCACTCAGTTTTGCCACCAGTATTCCTTAACCCAAACCATGCAAACTCTTTTTTTTCCCCTCCTGCTGAAGGCATCCATGCTAAAAAACATATACTGAAGTCCGAAGAAGAAAGGCAATTAACTCCTGCTGACTGCAGCAGCCCTGAGGTAAAGGGCAAGGGCAGCCTCTGCCACTCCCATCCCAGAGAGGGCCACACACATACAACAAGGGCATTAGGGCATTTCATACTCCTCTGAGCTATCGCAATTAAGATCGGCACATTCAGCAGACAATGGAATGAGCCATTCCTGCTCTGGATGGCTTGGCACAACAGAAATAGCTCCATTTCCCAAGCACCAGTGGATTTCAATATCCTTTAAGAACCAGGAACTATCTCCCCCCTTTCCAACTGGTACTGGCCTTAGCACAGTTGCTGTTACAGTTCAAATAAGACACAAGTGGGTGTTTTTTTTTTTCTTAGCAAAATGACTTAATAAAGATTTAGTCACAGTGTTACCAAATTCCACCTGGCACAGGTAGCAAACAAAGAGTACCCCTGCATTCAAGTGCGGCACTGGAGAAGAAACACATGAGACAAGATGACACCCCACCCCTATGGAAAAAGGATTTACTGCACAGGAGAAAAGCCAGGGCACTGATGCGCAAGAGTGGAACCAGAGCTCTTCCAAGCCTCTTAAACTGCCACGACCATGTGCCTGTTGCACTCTGCCCCAGATCCTCTCCTTTGATAAAGCCAGGTGTCAGCTCTGGAAGGTGAGGCTCAAGGACAGAAGGGTCATGCCAAACAGACAGTGTGATCCCAGCAGAAGTTTTTAGAGACTCCATGGCACCCAGGCACTTAGTAGCTGGAGTTCACTTGGAAACACATGGGTAGAGTGTCCATAGTCACCCTGACTGGAGCTCAGGAGGGGAGAGGAAAAGTGATCTGGGCTCACTGCTGGTCAGAGAGCCAAGTCAACAAGGCCCTTGCCCACAGTGAAAGGGTCCCAGAGAGCAGCCGGCCAGATGTGGAGCACTGTCCCAGCTGCTGGGCTGAGCACTAGTTCCTTCATCAATCTTGATCACGGCTCATTTTGCCCGTCAGCCTCCGCCGCTGAGTCTTAGTGGTCCGCCCCGTGCCGGATTTCTGGATTTTCTTGCGTGGGCCTTGCCCACGTTGGAGTCTCTTTCCTTTTCTCTTTTTCCGGCTGCGCATGTGCAGCGTGGCAGTAAGAGCAGAGATCCTGTGCAGGGCAGGAAGAGAGAAATGTTTGGAGAACAAAGTCTGCAGGAGCAAGGCGACATCACAACAAAAGCAGGAGAGCCCTGTGTGGCCCAGCAGGAGTAGACATCAGACATGGTGAGTTCCAGAAGAACTCCACTGTGCTGGGTACCATCCTGGCAGGGCAGGAAACCTGCAAGTTTATGTGTGCAGTAACAACCACAGTGAATTTTCTAAGCATTGAGCTTCCCAGCCACCACAGAGTTAAGTAATACTCTGCATTTCTGAGCTAGCTGTAAATCCTGGATACTGAAAAAACATGGAGAATGCCAAAGCTTTAGGGTCTTTCGACCTTCAATCCTAGGGACAAATTCTGCACCCTGCAATACACCCTCCCCTGCAGTATCTGCAGAGAGGAAGGGCTAGGTAAACACTTCAGGACAAAGCCCGCCCCGCTCTGCATCCTCCTCCTGCTGCTGCTGTCACCAGTGATCAATGACAGTGGAATCGAGCGTCCGGGACAGGCTTGTGCTCTGCCAGTGCCCTCTGCTGGCTCCTGCCCAGCAGCACAGCATTCCCTGCCCTGCAGGCACACCACTGAGCTGGGAAGGAAAGATCATCATCAGCTCGCAAAGCCTAGCAGCAAGTTGCTGGAGTGAATTTATACATACTTTTCAGACAGGAAAGGGTTTCTGGACTTCTTGGGCATTGCTTTTACAGGCTTGTTCACCACCTCTTCTCCTTTCTCTTCTTTTGATTCATCACTCTTGCCCTTAAAAAGGAAGAAAAAAAAACAAACAAAACACCTAAGATACATTATAACAAATAGTTTTGTGATGCTGGTGTTTCTGCTGCCTTCTTGGTTTCATTCTGTTTTGTAAACCATCTTATCATACGTGAAGTTTCTTTGTTTAGTTCTCCACATCCCTTGCTGTCCAAATCTCAAGGTTTCTTATTACAAGGTTTCTTTTGGAAATGGACAACCAGTGAGAAGTCCTGCAGTAATCCACCCTAAGATCCAAAAACTTCAGTATGAGCTTAATGGCTGCGCACCTGGTCTAAACTATGAACTGAAGGTTTCCTCTTTTTTCTTGTTATATCAAAGCCTCTTTAAGTAACTTTTTAGATTATAAAACACCCTCACAAATGTAAAAGGTTAACACAGACACTTCTCCAAAGAGCTCAAATCCAGCCACAGTCATGAAGATCAAAAGGATCAAATGAACCAGGGCCTGAAAGCGTTTCTGGACCAAATACGAGATTCTCAGTTACAATATGTTTTGAACACAAAAGCAACAGCATCCAGAAATGAATGTTTTTTTTTTTATTTGTAGTCCAAGCACAGGATCATGGAGGGAAGTGCCTGTTTGTCCTAATAATTTTTCCTGATCAGGACACATGAAAGAGATAGAAGACAGCCATGTATCAAACCCTGAAACCTTGCTGCTCATATTGTATTGGCTTTTAAAATACTACATTCTCACCTCCAGCCCTGTGACACCTTTCACCTACACAAGGTCAGTTGGTACTAGCAAAGGATTCCAGGGAGGTTTGAGCGAGCTGCTCATGTAAGGACATTTCTTCTATTTTAAAGGCCCAATATAAGTTGTGGAAAAACTAGGAAGTTACAAGTTTCCTTTTTCATCCCTGCTCCCAGCCTGCTGCAAGTCTGCGGGCACATTCAGGGAGTACCAGCCCTATGTAGCCTGCCCTAAGGACATTTACAGCTGACACAACCAGTGAGGCAGCAAGAGGCTTTACCACAGGTGTGGTCAATCCCAGCTGGCGTGCCCCGGAGAGGTCCAGGTCACTGATGGTGGTCACGGTTACAATGTGATTCGGGTGGTCGATGTTCACAGACTCTGTGCGTGATGTCACCAAGTGCTCGAGTTCATCAGCCTCATCTGGGGAGACAAAAAAGGTCCTGCACTGCAAAGCACCCCATCTTCCACAAGATACATTTGCTTGTCCCTGCAGTGCCATGCTCAGGGGGAACCCAGCCTCTGCATCCAGGGTGAAAGGGTGGAAGGGTTTGAACACCAGCACTTCTCCCAGCATAGGACTTGAAGATGTCCTCTTGCTTGCTTCTTTCTGCACACCCTCCTACCCCCTATTCCACCAGGACACGAGGGCTGCAGTGGTCACTACTGATTGCTGCCCAGGGGGAACACTAGAGGAGCAAGGAGCTGATGCTGTGGGACAGTGTGCGAATACTCCTGTTCTTATCAATACTGCCGATCCACGGGTGCCCACCCCCCGACACCGAGGTCCCAGCACCTACCAAGCGCTTCCTCCCTCTCGCTCAGCATCTTCAGGTACTCCTGGTGCCTCTGAGGGGGATTGAAACAGGTCACTGCGGCACCCCTGCCCCTGCAGCCGCCACCCCTCCGACCCAAGACCCCCCTGCCCTGCGGCCTGCCCGCCATGGCGGGAGGCGGACACCCCGCATCCACGGAGGGCCAATGGGGGGGGGGGGTGTCTGTAGGGGTACCTCCTCCTTCAGCTTCCTCTGCTCCTCCTTAAGCTTCCGCTTGATCTCGTCCAGGGCCGCCTTCCTCCGCTCCACCTTCCTCTTGTGGAAGCCGGTCAGGTACTCCCTGCCGCCGGCAACACCGAACCACGCGGCGTTTAGCGAGCCCTTCACGGGCAGATATCCCCACCCCGTCGCAAGAATCACACACACGCTCCCGGCCTCACCTCCGCCTGTCCTCGTCAAAAGTCACCACCAGCCGACCCTCTCTGCCGCCTGCACCATTCTTCTTCTTCTTGCGGCCCATCGCGGTACCACGCTGCCGCCACCACGCTGTCGCCCGCCCCTTCCGCCGTGAGGGGCGGCACCGCCCCGCCCCATCCCGCCCGCCATGTTGCCCCGGGCAGGGGAGGTTGACGGCCTCATGGGGGCACCAGGGGAGGCTGTCTCAGCCTGAAGGAGCAGAGCGGGGCCAGCATCGGGTCCTCTTGTCCCGTTCGTGTGTGGGAGCTGTGTGCGTCCCCTCGCCTGATCATAGCGGTGCGTTCTGCCCCCAGGCAGGGGTGGGAGAGAGAAGCCACTTCGCAGGTGGCTGTTCCCATCCCTGGGGTGGATGGAGGGAGGGTTCCTTCAGGTTTGAGTGCCTCCAGCTCCCTTCTCCCCTCAGCTGCCTCCTAGCAAAAGGGTTTTGCGGTGGTGCCTTGTGCTGATCTCTCATCTTGAGATGTGTTCTCAGTATTGTACATCTCCATCTGTTTAATAAAGGTTTTTCCTCCCAATAGTTAACATCTGCATTTCATCAGGAAAGGTCCAGGGGTTTGTTTCAAGCTATCACTGTTTGGTGTTAGTGGCACCTGAGCTGCTCCTCTTAGTCCAGGAAGACAACTCGGGGGATGCGTCTCGGCTCTTACACTGAGTCTCTGATATGCAGGACCTGGCTCAACAGCCTTGGTTTCTGTAGTGACAGACACCAGCATGAGTTGGAGGGGGGCATCAGCACTGCCATGTTCTTAGATGGTTGTTTGAGTGACTTTGGCTGAACTCTTGAACTTTCTTGCTCTCTGGTCCTTGCTTTAAAGGTGTGTGTAATGCCTGTGTGGCGGCCAGCTTACTGGTGTAAGCTCCTGACGTGCTGCAAGGCCAGCCCAAAACCACCCCCCATGTCACAGAGCGTGATGAGCCCTGACACAAGTCCTGACAGGACTGGTGGCCGCCGTCTGCGGCCCCCTCGCCTTTATCAACTTGCTGGCTGCTGCGCTCTCTTCCTGGCCTGTCCCTTCACCAGCAGAAATGCGGCAAAACCAGTTCTGTGGTTAATTGCTGCACTTCCCTCCCCGCCCATGGGGCAGGTCTCCTCCTCCTCACCCGTAGCCTGCCTGCACTTCAGCCTCTTCGCCCCTGCCTGGGCTCAGCCGGCTCAGGTGTGCCGTTAAGGCCTCCACGCTCCTACCGTTAACCTTACGGCTTCTCCTGCTTTCCCTGTTTCCTGCTCTCTGCCAGAGCTGCTGTCTCTCCGGTGGCTCCTTCTCCCTTGGGTTGGCCTGCAGGTGCAGAAGGCGCAGGCTGCCCTCCTGGTCCTGCCCTGCCTGGGAGGGATAGCGCTGGGACGTGATGGCTGGAGGACATGAGCGGAGCATGAAGGCCCTGAAGGAGGTGTGGAGAAGAGCAGAAAACTCTTTATGTGCAGACTGTGGGAAGCCAGGTGAGTCCCCAAGGGCTGCTGGAGGAAAAGTTGGAAGCAGGAGCTGCTCTCTAACAGCTCTTGGGCTGCACGGGAGCCTGGAGTAGAGGGGAAGGGGAGTCATTGCTCTGGGTATTTACTTCTTCTCCCTGGAAGTGAGCTGGCAAGGGAGGAGGAAGGAGATGCTGCCACAGTGCCGGTGGGAAGAAGGACGGGGATGCGGCAGTGCCCTTTGAGCAGGGGCTGTGTAGCTGCAGCGCCATGGGTTGTAGTCATGTCAGATCTCCAACACAAATCAAGGTCATGCCCAGTCAGGACCCGACAGGAAAGCTCGCGGTGAAATCCTAACTGCTCCACAAAGAAGGAGTGATTCAGGAGGGCATTGTCTCCTCTGTGACTCAGCTGAGCATACAACCTGCTACAGGCGCCTTGGAGATTTCTCTTCCTGAAGGGCTTGCTCTCTTCACAGGGTACCCAGTTTGAGGTCCTATGGGCACTGCTAAAAACACTCATCATGCTCTTCCCAAAAGGGGCACATGGAGCATACCATCCAAGCCAAATTAAGATTGGGATAATTGGTATCCTTTCACCTTCTTAAATTCTTCCAGGAAAATTTTGGATTCGGGGCTGCTTTCCACTTCTGCAGCTAAATACCGTTGTGCGTTTGCTATATTGCACTAAACTGCTGGAGTCTTTTCCCAGAGGTGGTTTCACTTTCATCATGGGTGACTCTTTATGCAAAGGGAATTTTCGCAGCACTTGAAGTTTTTCAAGGTTCACGTTAATAAAGATTCAGATGAAGTGGTTGAAGCAGGGGGGATGGGGGGGCTATAATAGCTCTGCTTTTTCCTAACCAGCATATATACTTTGGGTGTTAATTAATTGGTTCAGATGAAACTGTGGTCACACAGCTCTCTGTTTCTCAGGACTGTGTTCTCAGTTGAGGTATACATCCCAGGGGAATTTACCACTTGTAGTCATACCGTTTTTTATACCCGCAGACCCTGATTGGGCGTCCTCTACTCTGGGTGTTTTTATATGCCTCAGCTGTTCAGGAATTCACCGCAACATCCCTAGCATCAGCAAAGTCAAATCCCTGAAGATGGACCACTGGGATGATGCCCAGGTGCAGGTGAGATCTTTATCCCCACTGGTATGTCAGGTGGGTTGGATCTAGGTCATATACTAACTGTCCTGGGAAAGTCAGCCCTTTGCACAGAGTTGAAGATACAGTCTGATTTAATCTGTCCCTTTGCTACTTATGCTCTGGATATTTGTGCAGGGATAACTCCCCATAGCCCACTGGGAGAGGCAGGATGCATTTGCCTTATGTGTCTCTCCATGTCCTGTTACTTTATGGCAAATGGAGAGTTCTTGCAATGTATTTTGCCAAGGCTCAGGGTCTTTGTCACTCCAGATTACTCATTTCCCACTCACCAGCACCATCCAGATTCAATGTCTTCTCTTGGATTCAGCAGTCTGAGGGGAAAATTTGGGGCAATTCCATGCTCTGAGATGAGATTCCAGATATAATGTGATCTCTTGAGAAAAATGGCATTTGTGGGAACTTGACTTCTCCCTGTTACACCCCCCTCAACCCATAAATCTTCAGGGGACTGAAAACATTTTCTGAACATCCAAAGAAAATAATCTGTATCTTGCTGCTCTTTTGAGAGGAGCAAAGAGTTTTGGAATGTCCCCCCAGAAGGCATTGCATAGCTGTTGAACATGGTGTCCCTAGTGATGTGGGGCATGGCAGCAAATCCACTGAGTGTGTGTGCACCAAGCCCCACGGAATTGACATTTATGGCATTCTTTGGATTCAGGTGCAATCAATGTAACTTCTAAAAGCAGACAGGACCTTTGAGATCCACCTTTATGGAGCCAGACATTACTGGGATGTCGCAATGGAGGGGAAGGAGAATGCTCCATTAGAGCTTGATGTGCATCTAGCCCTGTAGTGGGTCAGGAAAGAAAAAGGTCCAACATTACTCAGCATCAAAGGGAAGGAACTAACTCTCTGTCTAATTCTGCAGTTTCTGGCCAAGCATGGGAATGCTGTGACTAAAGGCATATATGAAGCTCACATCCCTATTTACTATTACCAGCCAACCTACAATGACTGCCAGTAAGTTGCTGCATAGAAAAAAAGGGGGAATGGCAGTTCTGGGTTCCCCTAAGTGTTTCTGAGCTACCTGTCACCTCTCTCCCTAGTGTGCTGAGAGAACAGTGGATACGGGCCAAATATGAACGCAGAGAGTTCACTGAGCCAGGAAAACAGCTGCCATATTCTGATGGTAAGAGCAGAGCACAGCATCAAAATATCCTGCCTGTTGCCTTTGCTGGAAGATTTTGAGTACCATGAGAAGAAAGCTCATAATGTCAGAGTGGCAAATCCCACAAGTACTCCTGAGAACCCAGCTGGTATTTATAGGGTATTGTGTTTTTTGGAGAGGGGATTCAACTGTGGCCAGTGTAGGTTGGTATTGCCATGGGTTGCTTCTGTGCTTTTTCAAAGCCATTTTCTATCCTGTTGGAGCCAGACGTCTTCAATAAGGAATTTCTGCCCTGCTGCAAACTACTCCCTCCAACCATGGCAGCTGTCTTTGAAATGCCCCTGCCAGTGCTGTGACACAAGGTGCTTCTAGTGGAAGGTGTCCCTGTCCATGGCAGGGGCTTGGGACTGGATGAGCTTATTAAGGTCCCTTCCAACCCAAGCCCTTCTGTGATTCTACGTGCTTTATCCCAAAGATATGGCTAGGACCCCAGGTTGCATGCAGCTCTCTGATGCCTACCATGCTTGTGAGAGGATGCTTTTAAAAGTGGCCTTTCTGCTCCTAGGAGTGAAGGAAGGCATCCTCTGGAAGCGAGGTCGAGACAATGGGCAGTTCCTACCCCGCAAGTTCCTCTTGTCTGAGAGAGAGGGATGTCTGAAGTATTTCACGAAGCAGGATGTGAGTATGGTGGTCAACTCCCAAGCCAGTGCGTACTCCACTCAGGACAGTGCAGGCACAGAGGTGTTTCATATGCAAGGCAACCTGTTTCTGAGGTTGCCTGCCTTATCCCAGACCAGGGATGATGACAGAAACATGTCTCTGAAGAGAGGGGTCCCCATCCTACTGTCAGGGTGACATTTCCCCATGTCCTCCCTTTGTGCTTCCCTATACCCTTCCCTCACTGCTGATAAAAGGTTTGATTTTTCACTGATGGATGGATGCCCCACCCCTGGAAACGTTCAGGGTCAGGTTGGACAGAACTCTGAGCAACCTCATCTAGTTGAAAATGTCCCAGCTTATTTCATAGGAGTTGGACTAAATGGTCTTTAAGGTCACTTCCAACCCAACTATTCTATGTTTCTATGATTCTAGGAGTGGACTCTTTCCTTTTGAGGTCAGTTAGCCTTTAGACTGGCAGAGCTGTAAAGTCAGATGCACTCCCAGTGCGCTATTGGCAGTTCCAGAGTAGGCACAGGTCAAATGTAAAATGGGGTGTGTGTATGCCCACTTTTTGAGCTTGAGCACAATACATAGTGAAGTGAGTGTGTGCTACAGCAATTTTGTTGGGTAGGAGCAGTTATTACCTTTAAGATCCACTGACTCTCTCTTACCCTACAAAGTGTCTTTCCCACTAGGATTGCTTATTCATGACCAGTGCTATTCTGTTTTCAGGCCAAAGAACCCAAAATCAATATTAAAATAGATGTCATCAATGCTACATTTCAACCAGTGAAGATTGGGAACCCCAATGGCCTGCAGATCACCTATCTTAAAGACAACAAGACTCGGAATATATTTGTCTACCATGAAAGTGGAAAGGTATTTCGTTTTAGCATCAAACATTGCAAAGCAATTGAGGTGATCTGAGAAGCTCCTGATACTAAATAGTCTGAAGCATGGGTAGGACAAGGTATGTGTGTGTGAGTCACTGTAGGTAGGTAATGGGGTGGGGGCTCTGGCTCTGTGTCTGTGTGTCTGAGAGGGTTTTGCTGCAGGGAGTAGGGCAGGAGCACTGACTGAATTAGTTTGTGTGGAAGGAGCTGTCACAGAAGATGTGCAAATGTGCTGCTGCCTGTGGGTGTGGGGAGTGGGGCAGCCGTGCTGTTTGTGTGTGAGGGAGATGATATAGGTGCTGGGGAGGGAGACCTGGCTGTGTTTGTAGCTAACATAGGGTTGAGCTGGGTGAATTTAAGATGGCTCAGTGTTGCTTTGCCTAAGTTTTCTGTCCTGTCCTTTTTCATTCTCAGGAGGTAGTGGACTGGTTCAATGCCATTCGCTCTGTGCAGTTCCATTATCTGAAGGTAGCATTTCCCATTGCCAGTGATAATGAGGTAAGTCAGCACTAGAGTGCAGTGCTGAGTCTTCCACTGATACTTGGTGATGTGCTGTAAGAGCCCATTAGTTACTGTAGTTACTATTAGAAGCCCAGGTACAGAAGCAGAAATTGCAGTATTTAGATAGAGGGATGAGAAAGTGTGTGTAGAAGTGCCTGTGGTAGCCTGAGAACAACTGCTTTCTGCCCTTTCTGGGCACTTTGAAGACAGAAGTGACTCCTGGCTAGGCAGTTCTTCAAAAATTAATATAAAAGGCAACTGAGTTTGGGGGATAGAAGGAGGGGGACGGAGAGGAGCAAAAGCAAATAGCAAAGAAACGTGGCTGAGTTTATCTGACTCTTGCCTTTTTGTCAGATAAAAAATCGGCTGACAAGAAACTTCCTTAAGGAGGGATACATGGAGAAGACTGGTCCCAAGGTGAGCTGCTGTGGGGAGAAAATCTAGCAGGGACCTGCCAGAGAGCCACTGACCTTCCCTACTTCAATGTTTTTCTCCTGCTGTTTCCCCATTCCCCCCGACTCTTTAGACACCCGTGGGAACAGTGTGTGTGCACCAAGGGAGGGGACAATAAAAGGAAGGGGAAGGACACATGTGAAAGTAGATGAAGCCAGAGTCCCTGCTTTCTCCCAGAACAACAGATCTCTCTGCATGTGTCTGTGTGTGCGTGACCTTACAGGTATTTAGCGTCTAGATTTCTCCTGTCTGAACTCTGGGGTTCTTCACAGAAGTCCAAGAGCTGGGGACAGCAGTTGGGACTGAAAAACCCGATACTGATCCCTACTCTCAGCTTAGAAAGGGTGAGGAGGAAGTTGCTGTTAAGGCAGGGGCTTGGTTCAAGCGGTTGGGATGAATTTTGGCTATCCATTCGCACTGCTCGCAGCAGAGGGCACTGTCCGCTTACATATGTCACCTCTTCCCTTCGCAGCAGAGAGAGGCTTTTAAGAAGCGCTGGTTCACGCTGGATCACCGCAGGCTCACCTACTTCAAGGACCCTTTGGTGAGCAGGAGATCTGACCTCTGGCAGCTGCAGGCAACGGTGCTGAGGGCAGGGTCACAGTGCAGTCAGAGTCTTTGCTCTGCAGTAAGGCAGGCTTGCGGATTCCCCAGCTGCTTTGAATGGGCTCTAGGTCTTCCCCTTTCCATCTCAGTTCATTGTATGCTTTCTGTATTTGTTTCACTGCCTGTGAACAATGGGAACAGGGAGGGCAGCAATGTAAAATAGTGATGGGGAGGAGAGTGACATGGGGGGTGACACGGAGCAGTGTTTCCTTTCTCAGACCTCTCTAGATCTATGCTTGTAATTTTTCCTTTCTGCTGCTGCTTTTGAGCATCACCTCCCTGCTTCTCTGAATTCTCTGACCTCCCCTGATCACCATCCCTGGTCCTCACCCACTCTCCTCCTGTCCTCAGGTGCTTGCTATTATTCCCTGGTTCTTCTGAGATTCTGTAAACCTCACTTTTTCCCTCTGATGTGCAGGATGCATTTGCTAAAGGTGAAGTGTTTGTGGGCAGCGGAGATAATGGATATAGTGTCCAGAAGGGATTGCCTACAGGGACACAGGGCAACTTCTCTTGGAACTATGGCCTTACCATCGTCACCCCCGACCGGGAATACCTCTTCACTTGTGAGACAGAGACTGACCAGCTGGACTGGATCTCAGCCTTCACCAGTGTCATCAACCAGGCCATGACACCACAAGAATATGCAAGTAAGTGCCTGGATGCTGTTTTCTTCCCCTCCTGCTATTCCAGTTCAGGGTATTGCCCTAATGCACCACCTTTTTCCTTCACTACAGTTGAAGCCTACTTCAAGTTTAAATCCTAGGAAGCCATGGAGAAACCTGCTGTGACTTGATTCTACCTGGTCCTGTTGCTGGGCTGTCAGGAGAGGAGACCAACATCAGAGAAACACAGTGCTCTTGAAGCACCCTTTGAAGCACTTTCTTCCCCCATAGATGGTCCACTTAGTTTTGAGCACCCGATTAAGCTGCTTCCTTTCAAGTACAAGACTTTGAGAGTCTGACTCCTCAGTGCAACCTGTCACTGTTAAATTGCTGTGGTATGACTGGACACTGGCAGGCCTTGAAAACTTGGCACTTGCTGTGTTGGACTTGGGACCCAGCATCACTCCTGCATGAAACTGCAGGCAACCACAAACCTTAAGAAGACAGCTGCCTGGCTGGAGCTAAACCCCAGCAGGTTGCAGGGGCTTCTGGACTAGGAGACCTGTTCCTTTACAAGAAATGGTTTCTCTGCTGGTGTCAGAGATGTGAAACATGTACATATTTGATCAGAGCTGTAGTTGAGAAAGGTCACTTAAAAGATGTAAACTAACAGCCAGATGTGAAGCCTGCTTCGTCCTGCTGTGTATGGCCTTGAAAGCTGCTTCAGACCTTCCTTTGATTGCTACAGAGAAGAGAGAAGCTCAGAAACAATGTGTGGGTATACATATGTGTATGTGGATAATGTGTGTGTTTGTGTGTGCACATAAAAAGTGATGGGAGGTGGAATACTGACCTAGGAAAGATAACTGTGGGGGATATTCATGCCACTGAAGTTCAGCTGTCAAATCTGAGCCTGTAGTCAAACCAATGGAGAGAGGATGTGTCCTGCAGAGAGCAGCTTATGGCATGTCTGATACAGCGTTCTGACTTGTCTTTGCTAGAATCTTGAGGTTGATGTCCAAAGACATCACAGATTCCCTCATTCTCTGTGTCAAAGGCCTGGCATTTTCATTCTGCCCTATATATTACATATGTTTATACTGTATACCACATATACATATGTTTTTATGCAGTAGTGTAACAGGGAAGTCTGTATGTTCATATCCTTCTAGTAACAGTTAGCCCTAACCACTGAATCAACCCATGATTCATATCTTAAAGATCATCTCTTAAAGCTCTCCTGGCAGAGCTGTATTTCACGTGCTGGAAGGACGAGCTGAGTTCTTCTGATGGCTGTAGTATTTGATGTGTCTGCAGCTTTACACCAGTAGTGTTAGAGCAGGCATCTCCTGTGTTAAGGGAGCTAACTGGAGTTAATGAGGTAACCAGTATTTTAATTAGTTTGTAAAGAAATACATTTAAAAATCCCACTAATTTATTTTAATTTCCTAAATGAAGTTAGGAGGCTAACAGTAGTTAGCTGAGCTGCTGACTACTAAGGTATAAGGCTGTTTCTTGAGAAACAAAAAGGATGGACAATCAGAGCAAAGAGCTGTAGGTATTCATTGCATTTCCTGGGGCATTTAAACTGTGGATTTTTCCATCAGAGCAAAATGGGCAAAGTCATGGTCCCCCTCTGGTTCCCTGGGGAGCCCTCTTTGTGCTGAAACTGCCAGAACCTGTTGGGAGCATGGACTTCCTAGGTGAAAAACAGCACCAGGAGTGTTCCCCGAGAGGAATGAGGCTAAAATGCGGGTGAAGAAAGGGCAGGGAGCATTGGGTACAGCAACATCAGGGCATAGGTGCCATGCAATGATGCCCCGCTAGAAGGCGATGGTGCCTACCTAACAGGCTAACAGCAGGGAGGAACAGAGCCAGGTCATAGAGAGTGTGAGATGTCCAGCCATCTGGTGGGCTTGCTTGCAAACTGGGGGCTACATCCATTATCTGTACATTAGGGGGCCTGATGTCTTTGGAAGGGAGTGGGGGACAGGCCTTCATAGCCTAGCTTGGCTAAGGGACAAGCAGAGCAGTGTGGCAGCTCCTTGGCTCTGGTTTCCCTTCTAAAGCCACAGCGTGATGCTTCCACACATTAGGGAGTTTTGTCTTTCAGTTATCTCCTCTCTCAAATGAGGACAGCCAAAAACAAGAAGAAAGAGGGACCAGGAAGAAGGCACGGGAAGACGGGGAAAGAAAGAGTGTGCCTGCAGGAAAGAGAAGGCAGACAGTAGGTCTCCTCAGCTAGCAGCTGAGTCTGGTATGAACTGGGACTGCATTCACACCGGTGTGTGAAGCTCTGAGTCAGACACATTCCTCTCTGCAGTGGGCAAGGCAACTCCCCAGGGGTTAGTTCAGGGAGCAGAGCCCACCTCTCCGGAGTCTGTCTGAGTTGAGAAGATACAGACTTCGGAGGAGAAATCCACTTGCCAACCGAGTCTGCTGGTTTCTGCGGGCCCAGTGAACACTGGAGAAACAAATGAGGAGCTGGTGAAGATCAGAGACCTTTCCTCTTGGCTGGCAGAGGTTATTTTGCACCTCTTGGTCTTGAAGGCAAGGGCATTGTCCCCTTCTCAGCCCTTTGGTGATTGAGAGAAACCAACAGACAGAGCTTGTGATGGACAAGACCAGCAAAATGGACTGGGTGGCAGGAGGTGAGGAATAGACTTCTCTGGAGTACCCTGTATCTTCCCTTCCCTCAGCTGCTTTCCTGGCAAGGCTACACGTATCCAATATATAGCAAGGGGGGAAGGCAGGGGGAAGGAACAGGTCTCTGACAGCCTGCCTTATTCTTGCTTGCTGTACCCAAAGATGTCTTATGACCCTTCCTTCAGCAGCACAAGACCCGGAGAGGATCTTGAGGGTGGCAGCTTCTTGGAGGAAAGCAGTGGTGTGGGTGATGACAGTAGCGTCCTGGGAGGGGACAGCCCAGTCACGGTGCCTCTGGGTGCAGTGCTGCTCATCATGTGCCTCACTGGGATGGTGGGGAACATATACACCATCTTGGTAGCCTCCGGCAGGGTGGCGGGCCACTCAGCAGGCTCCTTGGGGGTCTATGTGATCAACCTAGCCCTGGCTGACCTCCTGTACCTCTCCACCATCCCCTTTGTGGTCTGCACCTACTTCGCCCATGACTGGTTCTTTGGGGATATGGGCTGCAGGCTTTTGCTCAGCCTGGACCTCCTCACCATGCACGCCAGCATCTTCCTCCTGACTGCCATGAGCCTGGAGCGGTACTGGGCAGTGTCCAGGCCACTGCGGGCCAGGTGGGCGAGCAATGCTTACCGCAAACTGGTCAGCGCTGTCCTCTGGCTCCTCTCGCTCCTGCTTACGGCCCCCATGATGGTGATGACCCAGCTGCGGGAGGAGGACGGCCCCCACAAGCGCATATGCATCCCCACCTGGACACCGGCAGCCTTCCGGCTCTACCTGACGGTGCTCTTCACCACCAGCATCCTGGCACCTGGCGTGGTGCTGGGCATCGTCTACACCCGCCTGGCCCGCGCATACTGCTCCTCCGCATGGGGCCTGGGGCTGCCGGTGGCTGGCAGGGTCCCTGCCTGGCAGCTGTTGTCCAGGATCTCCACCATTGTGGTGGTTTACTGGGCCTGCTTCCTCCCCTTCTGGGCCTGGCAGCTGGCTGGGCTCTATTGGGGTGAGGGGCTGGGCATTGGTGCCACCGCACAAGCCTACCTCAACTTCGGGGTCACCTGCCTGGCCTACAGCAATAGCTGCATCAACCCCTTCCTCTACACCCTACTCACTCGCAGCTACTGCCAGTGCCGCAGGGTGGGCATGGCACGGCCACCAGCGCCATCCTAGGAGCCATGGAAGGGCTAGGGGGAGGCCACAGCATCCCTCCACTTAGTAGAATCATAGTCACAGAATGGTTTGGGGTGGAAAGGATGTTAAAATCATCTAGTTCCACCCCCCCTGCCATGGGTAAGGACACCTAACACTAGTCCGTGTCACCCAAGGCTCTGTCCAACCTGGCCTTGAATACTGCCAGGGATGGAGCATTTTATCACTTCTTTGGGCAACCCGTTCCAGTGCCTCACCACCCTTACAGTAAAGAACTTCCTCCTTATATCCAATCTAAACTTCCCCTGTTTAAGTTCTAACCTATTACCCCTTATCCTACTGCTACAGTCCCTGATGAATCATTCCTCTCCAGCATCCAATTTTGGGAGAGCTGTTGAACTGTGGGGGATGAGCAGCATCCCAGGTTGGGAACATTGGCTGGGGTTGAGCCAAGAAATAAAAGTGCATCACCCTCCATGCTGGCATGCAGTGTCTTCTGTTGTCATTTTTCCAGTGCCTTCCCCTTCACACCTTCCTCTCTGCAACACTGCTCACCCTCCTCAGCTCAGGGGGAGGATGTGTGTCTTGGGGATCCTGGCTCCGTCCTTGGGTCCTTCTGCCCTCACATGCCAGCAAGTGGGTGGAAGGGAGGAGTCAGCCTCCATACTCTTAAATTACACAGCTGGTTACACAGCTGGGGAGCCCTCGCCACCTCTCACCTCCTCGCTAGCAACGGGCCAAGCCATAACAAAGTCAGGACAACAGTGAGTCACAGATTTCACAGGACCAGTGAGTCACTTCGAGGAGCAGCCACGCTAGCAGGAGACCTGAATTAGGTTCATCCTCTTGTGGTAAAGCTCACACTTGGCTTTCATCCCCCACCTGCCACAGAAAAAATCCCTTTGAAGAATCTTGCTAAAAAAAGACTTCCAAGTTCAGTTAAGAGACATGGTGAGATTGCCCTGAAGTACAGCCTGAGGGTTGTCAGCACATTTGCTGAGCTCTCAAAGTCAGCCCAACAGAAGAAGCTGTAAGGAGACTGTGTGTCCATCATCACAGCTCATGCAGGGGGCCCTCAGCCGCACCATGTCTCTGCTAAGGTTGAGGAAATCCCCAACTCCAGACTGTGCCAATACCACTGTATAAAACTGGGCCAGGTCCATTTAGCCTAACATGGGTCATTCCCATATGGCTAAACCCTCTTCTTATCCCCAGAAAGAATGGCCTCATTCACATCGCCCCATGGGAAGACCCTCCAAGCCATGCTGTCCCCCAGCCATGCCTATGCACAGGGTGGCAATGTTAGATGTTGTGTTTACTATTATAGATGTAGACCTAAAGAGTGGGATGTGATCACAGAATCATAGAATGGTTTGGGTTGGAAAGGACCTTAAGATCACCCAGTTCCAACCCCCCGCCATGGGCAGGGACACCTCACACCAGACCATGTAACTCAAGGCTCTGTCCAACCTGGCTTTGAACACTGCCAGGGATGGAGCATTTACCACTTCTTTGGGCAGCCTGTTCCAGTGCTTTCCAGAGCAGACTGGCTTTGGGCAACATGGGGCTTCAAGAGAGATCCAGCTGCAGAGCCTTGAGTTGCGTGTATACCCCCTGTATTTCTGCCTCCCAGCTTAAAAGCCCATCTTGAGCCCGTGTCTCTCTCTTCCCCCCCAGCCCCCCAGTTCTTCGCAGCCAAAACTTCCTCTGCCATGGGTACCTGAGACACGGGACTTGGCACAGCCTCATGAAATACAGGGCAAGAACAGGAAGTGCTGCCGCTGTAGGGGCAAGTCCCAGTGTTGCAGCTACTCTGCAACTGCTTAATGAGAGGTTTCCACCCAGCCAGACCTGTGGGGAGTGCTTGTAAGACATCAAGTTGTTGGTGCTTCATGTTGCTCATGGCCAAGCCTGGAAAGGAGGACACAAAGGTTGGGTCCTTCCATCCCAACTGCTGTGCACTATGGAAATGGCAGTTCCCACTTCTGCCATGCCCACCGGCAGTAGTCCTTGTTCCCATAGTAGCATTAGATTGGGAGAGCCCCAGAGGCAGCTGCTGGCTCATACCTTGGGTAGTGACCCACAGCCCATTGAGAACTATGCTGCAATACCAAACATGCCTCATTAGCTCCACACTTCTCCAAATCCAGCCTCAGTTTACACTGCAAAGTGCTCAGGCTCATTTGAACTAATACAAGTGGAGGGGTAACAAAAGCATCCTTAGCATCCCACATCCCAGCTGGGCATTACCACCTCTCCCAGCTCCAGATGGACCAGAATAAAAGCAGACCTCTCCAGATCACCACCCTCCTGTGCCACATCAGCATTTGTGCTTCTGCAGTTGTTGGAAGAAAGGAGTTGGGTGAGGACCCCAATACCTGCTCTGCCACACTGAGGCATCCTTTCCTACTGCCGCTCCAGGCAGCGGTAAGAGGCCCCAAGAAGACATTGGAGAGCTGTGTCACAAGTAGGATGAACTTCTACAGATGGGTGCAGGCCAAAGCTAGCACAGCTGAGGATTATTCCCTCATTCCATGCCCCACTAGGTTTACCTAGCACAGCAACTCAAGGCTGCCCAGTTTAGGGAGTGAGAGTTAATAAACCCAGTTTACTCAGGAAGAATAATGAGACGGTCTAGACCTCAAGAGCAGGTGACTTTGCCTAAGGGACCCTTCCACTCTCCTCCTCAGTCACACCTAACCCCATTGTTTGTCCCAAGCCTCTCCTTGGGCTTTCCACCCTCACCCTCCTCTCCATGACTCTAAGACTGGCACAACATCACCCACATATTGTTGGCTACCCTCCTTCCCTCGCCCCTCCAGCAAAGTGATCAACCCACATGGACTTGCAGTATGAAACAGATTAGACTGAGACTGGGTAGGACAAAACTTATTTATTGAATGATATTTCTGTATCTTTGCAATGAAGGGGTGAGAGAAAAGTTATTCCCAGCTGAGGGACTGCAGTGTGAAGTCCCCTTGTGTATCAAAGTAGTCAAAGACAGCGAGACCAAGCCGGTTAGGGAATGTGAACTGGTGGCCTGGCAGGTGGACTGTCACATCATTTGGGTTGATGCTGAAAGTGATCTGCAAGACAAATGGAAAAGTCAAAGAAAGCTTCTGCAAAGACACCCTCAAGCTTTTCCCCTCTACAGTGTTACTGTGTCACCCTCCACTTTGCAGGGTGAACATGCTCAGTAGCATAACCTGCTCTTCAACAACAGGACTGTTATTCTGGCCTCCCAAGAGATGCCTATTCCCTGCTGTGTTCAATAGTAACAACCCTTTGAGCTAGATGGGGCTTGCACCTTTGATCCCCACCCTCTGTCCCTGCTCAAAGCCCTGGGTGGTAGCACTGGCCAAGCAGGAGAAGCCAGCCACCTCCTATACAGGGAGTCCCTGCCGTTGGGCGTCTTGTGCCAAGCACTCTTCCTTCACCATGTTGTGCACAGAGAGCGCATCCCAGGCCTCACCTCTGCACTGCCCCCCTTCTGGAAAGGGAAGACAGTCTCCCTCTGCTCTGTACCCCACTCTTCCACCTTCTTTGAGTTGCACACGATGGTGTTCACATCACCATGAGCATCAAAACGAGGGTTGAAGTGAAGCCCAAGGTGGGAAGCATCCTTCCCCAGATTCATCACAAAGCTGCAGAGAAAGAAGACGTCAATACTGTTTTAATCAACACTGTGGTAGCATGCTGCTCATCGCCATGAACATCTCCGAGTCTGTTGCTTTACCAGCTGAGGGTAACCAAAGAGAAACCCTTTGCTGAACTGCACAACTTCCCCAAGAAGATGGTGCTGTGCCGGTAAGGGGTACTCTCCTCTACTGGGGGGATAGCCCCACAGTACCATCCCTGGGAAAGGCACCACTTGGTTTCCATGAAGCCTTTAACAAGAGAAAGGTTCAGCACTCAGAGCCCTGAACAGGGAGTTACCCGACACCCAAACCAGCTCCCAAGAAATCAGTTGCTTTCCACAATTTCCTCTCAGGCCCAAACAGTTAGCTGGCTCTGCATCCTGCCTGGCAGCCACTGCCTTCCTCTCCACCCTGCAGGCAGCTGTCATAATTACTATGTCATTAGCCATCCCAAAGCATCTGCAATGGCAGCAGGAGGAAGCAGATTCCCAGCCCAGTGTCCACCTTGCCCCAGGCCTCTTACCCAGATGAGAGGAGACATTATTTGGCAAGGGAACACCCAGGAGGCTTCACTGATGCTAACGTGCTTCAAAGGCACTGGGAAGAGCTGGGACATGTTTCCTGGAACACCGCTAGTGCTGGTACAGCACCTACAGGCTCCACCTTACCCACCAAAGGACCTCACCAACCACAGACCTGCACAAGGGCTGGGGCTGCTGTGGAGCTTTCCCAGACACCTTGATCCCTGCACATTTAAGGATGCTTCCTTCCCCACTGGCATCTAAGAAGCATCTCCTCTGGGTGAAAGTGAATTTCAGCACCCCAAGATGCCTTGCTGCAACATGCAGCCTTCCCATCTGCACCATAAGCTGTGGCTGAGAGCATCCGTGGAGCCAGAGCACCCAAGACCTCCCAGCCACTTGGGTGATGCAAGGCACTGTAAATGTGTTCCTACTCCTGGACCATCCTCATGCAGGGGAGAGGATGTGGCTGTGGGGATGCAATCGAACCAAATCAGATACACAAAGCTTCTGTTTCCTTTACCCTGCTCTGCAGAGGATATGGTCAATGCCAGTGCATGCAGCTGGAGCTTCACATCTGCTTTGGCTTAGCCCCTTGGCAGTACAGTGCGTCTGCAAAGTGCATTAGGCAGTGACTCACTGCGAAGCACTGGTAGTGTTAACCCCTTCCAAAGCCACTCCTCTCCTACCCAAAGGAGGGATTCCTTTTGTCCCCAGCCAGCAGAAGACAGCTCAGTGTGCTGCCCCGACAGCACAGCTTACCTCTTGGCGCTTGGAGCGATTTTCCCCTTGACAGTGAGGCGCTGGCCGGGCTTGAGACCCAAGTTGGTGCACACCGGTCCCTGGGGAACATGGAGGCAGAGACATTAGCTCAGTACCTGCTGGCTCACTTTTACTCCCACTTGGCAGCTCT